CAGCAGTGGAGCACGTGCGCACTTAACCACTAAGCCACGGGGCCGGCCCTAATGATACTCTTTGATTTGGGGTAAATCCCTCAATTGCAAGGCCCTTGGGATTTTTTTTTTTTTTTTTTTTTTTTTTTGGTGAGGAAGATTCGCCCTGAGCTAACATCTGTGGCCAATCTTCTTTTTTGCTTGAGGAAAATTGTCCCTGAGCTAACATCAGTGCCAGTCTTCCTCTATTTTGTGTGTGGGTCACCCTCACAGCGTCGCTGGTGAGTGATGTAGGTCTGCACCAGGGATCCAAACATGCAAACTTGGGTTACCGAAGCAGAGCATGCCAGACTTAACCACTACGCCACCGTGCCAGCCCCAGGAATTCTTCTTTAGAGGCTAAATTTAGGTTGTTCTTCCGTGAATTTGCTCAGATTAGTAAATCTCCCAGAAATAATGAGATTATCAGATTCCCAAGCATTTAAATCTCTTTGGAGTTTAAAGAGTGTTTATTTCAGTTACTGAAATATCCCCTGAAATACATGGCTATTATACCCACATAATTATGAATGCCAGGCCGGGGGCTTCTCACTTGCTTAGGTTCTCATAACTTCCCTGAGCCTCTGTGCCGTTCAGCCGAGCAGCAGCTGCTTAGCTTTCTTAGCCACTGTTGGGGTCGCCATCATTTTCTCATGAGACGTAGGTATTTTCTCTCTTTTTGAATATTGCCCTTAAAAATAAACCATTTTGTATTTTGGCAATTTCAGTTTCTGAAATATTTCCTCATTAATAGTTAATGTTCTGATTTTCCAGCTAATCACTATGTGTTCCCTGTGACTTTCGGAAATGGTGTCAAATCTCCCTGAATCTCCCTTCCACCTTTCTTAAAGATTCTGCTGTTATCCTGATTCTACAGCCCTTTCCCCATTCTGAAACTAAAGAGCAGGACCTTAGATATCCCAGGAGCTCATCTCCTCAGCTCAAGTTTTGCCGGGAAAGTGATTCTACAGTATCCTAGTCTGAGCAGCTCTACGTTTGTCATCATTCCTTTTCACTGGACTCATTTACGTCTGATTTAAATTTCTGCTTTTCACTTTCTCTCTTGTCCTCTGTGCCTTTCGTGGGTTTGAAGTCCACACTCTGGTTTACTCCATTTGGTTCGTTAGTTTCCCCACAACTAACTTGCTTTGTACTTAAGTTATTAACTCATCTATAAAATGGGCATAATACTAATCTTTACTACATCAAAATAGTGTTGGTAATCAAAACAGCATGGATGTAAGTGCTTTTGGAAAACAACAAAAAAGATTCAGTTGTGAAAAGGTGTCACTTGTAATTGATTCCAATTTAATGAAAATATAGCAAATAGTAATATATATGTCCTTTATTTCAAGCAATCTTTGATTAAAAACCATGGTGCAGTTTAAATCTTTTGTTGGTGTTGGTTATAACAGGATTTGCCATGTGTCTTTCACCCCTTAATCATCTTTTGGATTGTCCTATGAATCTTCTCTACATTTTCCGTGGATATCCTTGAATGTTGTAGAAACATGGGAAGGGTCAAGAGTGAGCTCTGAAGAGCTTCTCCATGCACCTCCATGTTTCACTGTCAGTCTTCCCAGTGGGATGGAGGCTTTTGGACTTCCCTTGCCATCACAGTGGACTTGGGTAACAGACGGTCGGCAGTTGAGGTTCTCGTTGTAAGCTCAGAGCCTGGCACTCCGTGGGAGATCCCACTTGGAAGTGCTGTCTTGGACAAGCCACCCTCTCTGCCGTGCCTAATGCTTCTCATTCCTGGGACAGTGTGTTATAGCTGGCGGTGGAGCCACTGCCCCACTTCTTTCTCCAGGGTCCTCAGAGGCCCCTTTTTTCTTGTGCTAGGCTGACATATGAAATGATTCAGGGACATCTGGGCTCAGTGCAGGAGCTGTGGTTGGAGTGGTGAACCCAGGCTGTGTCAGAGAAGGCTTGGCTTAAGTATAAATGAACCTGTCAGAGCAGAACCCAAGATCCTAGGATCACCTGCAGAAGAAAGGTGAAACTAAATTCAGTGCCTGCTCCCTCTCCCTCCTGAGAAATCTAAACCAATTTGATGTGTAAACTTGGAATGGTAAAGCAGGGGTGGGTGTGTTTTAGGGAAAGCAGCATTTGCCCTGTGTGACTGTGGGGGCCTGACACAGTGGTCCAAACAGACCCGAAGTCTGATTCCAGTGTGACATGTGGGCAAGTGACTCAACCTTGGAGCCTGTTTCCAGCTATAAAATGAGGAAAGATAAACCTACCAAATCAAGTTTCTTCAAGCATTTAATTGAGGCAGTACTCAATACAAGCTCCTATGTTTTCCCACTAATTTCTCTATCCGTGGACCAGAGAAGATAGGATAGTGTATGATTGATGCAGAGGAGAGGGAGGGGGTCACAGAGGGAATGATTATTATGGGAAGGTGGTAAGAGCTATATCTGCACATCATGGCTAAGCAGTGACAAGAATGCAGAGAGGTGTAAATGCCAGGGTGGGGGATGAGAAGCAAGGAGATTGGGAAGAAAGCCAGGGCCAGAAATGGAGTGTTCCTGTCCTGTGTGTCATGCTCCTGGGAGCTCAGCATGACAGTCAGCTTCTCATGTGTGCTTCCCCTTTTAGGATGGTGATCCATAGAGCTAGCAGGGCTTCTGTGCTAGATATGTGCAAGAGTAATGATAGCAAGTACCATTATTGAGCCAGACTGGGGAGTGGGTTCTGTCACAGCCACACTGTGCAGTGTTTCAGGGAAGAGTCCAGAGTCCAGGGGTTGGTCTGTACCCCGCTCCTTCATCATTCCCTTTTTTGTGTATTCTGTCTCTCCAGTAATATGGTAAACTCCCTTCAGAGCAGGGAAGTTTTTGTCTCCCCTCCTCCTGTGCCTGGCAGAGTGCTCTGAACATTGGTGTTTAGTAAACATTTAAGCAAAAGTAAACATTATTCTGGAGCACTGCATCTTCCCCTACAGTGATGCCACTGACCCGAAAGTTGTTTCCAAGACAAGTCTGGACAGGGTCTTGGGAGGAGGAGAGTGCTGATTGTGAGAGAACAGTCCTAGAGGACTGCTGCTTCCTGCCACAGAATAATTGTGCTAAAACACGTAAAATTATTAAAAATAGGGCAATGTGGTTATTCCCATTTTACAGTTGAAGAAAGTGAGGTTCAACGAGGTCACACTTGTATATGGATTCCTGGTCTAGTGCTCTTTCCACTCTGACCCAGAGATCTGCCTGCTGCCCGACTGATAGGCCAGGCTCTTCCAAGCAGGGCGCCCACTCCTGGTCGGGGTGGGGCACCTTATCCACCATCCATCATTCTGCATTCCCATCCCGAGCACTGCTCTGATTTCCCTATCACCTGGTAAGTGCTGGCAGTGAGAGGGCAGAGAGGGGTGAACACGGGTCAGATCCCCAAAGAGGGGCCGACAGGCATTTTATGGAGCTCCTCTGGTTCCTGGCCCTTTGCTGGGCACTGTAACGCCAGTTTCACCCTTTTGCTCAGGGGTGAAGGAACCACTGGCGGCCGAATGCTGGTGGGAGGGAGGGTCGAGGGAACCGGCTTCTTCCCGGGGCCAGGTTCTTAGCCTGAAGGTGGCAGGCTTGGGCCAGAGGCCCCGAGGGAGCGGTGCCCACGCGGGGGCAGGAGCGCCCGGGTCCGAGTTCTGGAGGGGACTGCTGACGGAGACTCCCGCCCAAGGGCTCTGGGCCGCGTGTCAGGTGAGGGCGGGGCGGGGCGCCGCGAGCGAGGGGCGGGCTCCTGGGGCAGGCTCCGCCCCCTGCGGGCGCGGGTTTGTGTTTAAAAGGAGGGAAGGCGGGCGCCGCAGACTCGCGGCTGTGAGGCACGCTGGAGCAGGGGCGCGGCCGGGCACAGGCATGACCCTGCGGTCGGGGGGCGCGCGGCGGCTCGGCGGCCTCCTGCTCTTGGCTCTGTTCGCGGCCAGCACCACCCCGCTCGGCTGGGATCTCCCGGAGCCCCGCAGCCGGGTCAGCAAGATCCGAGGGCACCCGCGGGGCAACCTCTGGGCCACCGGTAAGTCTTCGGGACCCCGGCAAGCTCCCCTCATCCTGCTCTGACCCCGTGTTCCTTCTCTGGCCGCTCCTCAGCCTTGGACACTAGTATGGGGTGGGGGGGAACCCTGGAACTCATCTAATTTAGTAGATGGGGAACTTGAGACCCAGATAGGTCAGTGACTTGGCTAAGATCACTCAGCCAGTGATCTTAAAGGAGACCTGGGGCTGGATCCTAGATCTGCTTGCCGGCTGATGCCCCTTCTCTTAGGCAAGACTCTACTGAATCTTCTTCTAACGTGTGCTGTGTCTTCTCTCTGCACCTCCACTTTCCATACACCTCTTCATTCTCCACTTCCTTCCCTGCCCTTTCTCGTCCCTCTTCTAAGCAGGCAGCACAACTGGCAGAGTGTCTCCTTGGCCCTGGGCCATCCCACCCTCTTTCTAGCTGTGCCATCCTCTCCACCCTCTCTACCTGTTCAGGAAAAGCCAAGGTACAGGCCTTACCACCCCCAGGGTTCTTTGTAGTTCCTTGGTGAGGAGAAGAAGGAGGAAGGTTGTGTATCTTCCTGCCATGAGAACTAAAAGGTGGGAGAGATGGGGAACTTTCCCACTGGGATCAGATCCTCACTCCCTGACTTCTTTGTGCCTCGGCACCTCCTTTCTAGGTCACTTCATGGGCAAGAAGAGTCTGGAGCCCCCCAGCCCATCCCCATTGGGGACAGCTCCCCACATCTCACTGAGGGACCAGAGGCTGCAGCTGAGTCATGATCTGCTCAGGATCCTCCTGCTAAAGAAAGCTCTAGGCCTGAGCCTTGGCAGCCCAGGACCTCGCACCCAGGTGAGCCAAGCCCTTACCTCGGGCCCTGGACAGGTTCAGCCAGGGCTGGCCCTGGATCCAGCATTGGGCTTACTAGGGTGTGACTGCCTGGCCAGGGCATGATGGGCCTCAGAAAGTCAGGGATTCCTGGCTCTCCCTGTGATCCAGAGCTCAAAGGGAGAGGACTCCAAAGAAAGGAAGCTGACCCTCGCAGGAAACCCCATGGAGCAAGAAGTAGGGGAAGAAGCTTCCCCTCACCTATGGCCCAGTCTAAAGTCACAGCCTAGGATTATCCAGCCTCTGGCAGCAGGACTTTCCCCCGCTAGTCCACACAGACTTGCCTCACCCCAGCTGTCCACCTTTGCTGTGCCTTTTATGTGCTTGTGGTCAGAGTTGGCACCCTGAGGCCCAGAGAGGGGAGGAGAAGAGTCAGTTAGCAGCCAAGACCGAGTCTGGACCTTGTTCGCCTTGACCAGTGCTCTTCCCAGTCTCTCGTCTGCCTTGGTGACCTATGGCAGGGTCTCTCAACGTCAGCACTCGTGACATTCTGGGCTGGATAATTGTTGTGGGGGCTACCTGTGCATTGTAGGACGTTTAGCAGAATCCCTGGTATCTCTCCACTAGAGCATCTTCCCTCTCCCCTGCCCAGTTTTGACAACCAAAAACGCATCCAGACATTGCCAGAGGTCCTCTGGTGAGGGGATGGGGGAGGGAGCCATTATCATCCTTGGTTGTAAACCACTGACCTACAGGGTTCAAGGCCCCAAAGCTGGAGCCAAGCCAGCCTTAGGCTCTAGCCTGGTAGAGGACAGCTCCTCCATTCCCTGCTCCTGGTGCTGTCCCCATCCCACATCACCTTCCCTGGTACTTTGTTGATGTGTGCAAAAGGCAGTGTGCTGTGGTAGAATGTGGGTTCTGGCAATAGTGTGCTAGGTTCATAACCTAGCGACTTAGTAGCTGTGTGACCTTAGAAATATCACTTAACCTCTCAAAGCCTCATCTTCCTCATCCATCAAATGGAGATGATAGTGCCCATCTCCCATTAAATGAGACCATTTATGTCACATGCTTAGCATGATGCCTGGCGCACAGAAAGCACTTAGTAAACAGGAGCTGTTAGCAGTCTGTGAGCTCCTTGGCAGCACCTGTTGCTGACTCACCTTTGTATCCCCCACTGTGCCTAGAATATAGTGCATACATTTTGAAAGAAGGGAGGGGCATTCCCTAGAAAAGGTCTAATCTCAGCCCCAGTCAACCTCCCTGACCCTCCTGATGCACAGAACCACCAGCCCCTGGGGACCTCAGATGTAAGGGCCAGGAGCTTGGGCTGGCCGAGTCTGAAGGGAGATAATGTCACCTCTGGGGCCATTGGTCTTAAAGGCCTGAAACATGCAGACCAACTAGGAAACAGTACCTAGCCCTTGGGGATGGGGCTTTAGAAGTGAGGTCTGGGGCAGAGCTAGGGGCGGGGGAGTGAAAACTGACTCTGGCCCAGGACCAGGCACTGTACTTGGACTTCACTTCCAGGATCTCCTTTGATGTCATGACTACTCTCTGAGGCTGGGGCTGTAGTTCTAAGAAAACCATTGCCCGGACCCCTCCCAGGCCCTTCTTTAAGGAGAAAGGTGCTGGGGGGCCTGCCTCAGCTGAGAGCCTGCCCCTGCCTACTGCTGTGGATGCCTAGCATTTAGGAATGGCAGGATGCCCCTATCATTTGCCCCCTCTGCCCAGGTCACTTCCTCTGTGTGTTCCCCTCAGTACAGGAGGCTGCCAGTGCAAATGCTGCAGAAGTGATGCCATTAATGAGGAAGACACGACGACATGGCTTAGATTGTGTCCACCCGGGGAAGGTGTTGAATGGGACCCTGGCAGTGGCCCCATCTGGATGTAAATCCTGGGCTCAAATCTCTGTTACTCCATTACTGTGATTTCTGGTTGGGTCACCAGGAATATTGCCAGTGCAGACACAAATTATGTTCCCGCTGTATTTCTTGCTTCCCTGTTGAAGTTGTGAATAAAACCCTGCTCTTTACATAGAATGTCTGGTCCTCTCCTTCCAGCCACGTTTGAGGGAATGGGAGGGAAAGGGGACTGGAGGATGTGGTGTTCATTCAGTGAGATAGGGGTGGCTCCAAAAAGCCCAGACACTCCACAGTACCAGGCTGACCCTGACTCAGGACTTCTCTCTCGCTCATTCCGAAAGCAAGTTACTCCATGCCTGCTGTATGCCAGGTCCTGTGCCAGGTGCTGGGTTCTACTCTCGCTCTGCCACCTACTGGCACAGGCAAGCCTCATGTTTCCTCGCCTGTAAAGGGAGCTGCCTACACTCCACAGCGGGGCTTCGCTTACCCCATCTCATTTCTTCTTCACGCGCAGCTTTGAGGAGAGTGCCCAGCGTGTACAAGGGAGAGAGCCGGGCTGGGCTCCAGACCCCGCTGTCCGCTTCCTCTCTCCTCTGGCCTTGGGTGAGGTTGCCAGAGTTAGCAAGTAAAAATACAGGACACCCAGTTAAATTCGAATTTCAGAAAAACAATGAATAATTTTTTCGTACGAGATGCCCTAAATATTGCATGGACGTAACATATACGAAAAAATTATTCGTTTATCTAAAATTCGAATTTAACGGGGCGTCCTACTGGCCTTGGCCCCCTGATCTGCAAATACCCGGTCGTAAAATGGGCAGGTATGTGGTCCCTCAGGCCCTCTTGGAGCTGACATCCTGGGAATCCCTGATTTTACGTCATTTTTCCTGGAGCTCCTGCCCGGAGAACCCCGGACCCCGCCCGGCGAGGGCAGAGCGCGTCTGCAGCCGCGATCAAGCACCTCTCTGCCCCGCCCCCTGGCGGGAGACCACGCCCTTCGTGTCAGAGCAGGCCGCGCCCACTTCTCGCGAGAGGGCTGCGCCTGTTCAGGAGGATTCAGAGGCGGAAGTGGGGTACCGGAAGCGACCGTTGCCATGGAGTCCGCGGAGGACTGGCTGGTGGAATCCTTGCGCTTGTAAATTGTGTGGGCCTGGAATGTGGGATCCAGGCCTGGAGCCGGTCTGGTGGGCGGACGGGTGCGGGGTGGAGCGCGCGTGGAATCCTGGTGTGGGTTGGACCGGCGCTGGCCGCGGGGCGGGCCCTCGGCTCCCGCGTCTGGGCAATGGCACCTTCCTGTGTGCGCAAGTCGTGTGAGGTTCTAGTAAGAGCAGTGCTTGTGAAAGATAATAATAACATAAGGGACCAGTTATTTTGCGCAAGCGTCTGAGTTCAACCCTGAACACAGATTATCTCGTTGATTCCTCGCATCACCCTTGGGAAGTCTGGGTACCCTGAGAGTTCTATTTTACAGATGAGGATCGAGGCTCCGGGAAATTGTGCCTGGCCTGTCACACAGGGGATAAAATGTGTAACAAGACTTGATTCCAGGTCTGCCTGACTCCAGACCCTGGGCCCCCAACCACCAAACCCTGCTGCCATCTCTGTTCTTTAGCAGCTGTAAAGTGCCGTGCACCGTGTGACTGTGTTCCTGTCATGTAGGTACCAGGATTTCCATGCATTCGACCTTTCAGAAGCCACTCGGGTCCTTGAATGGATTGGTGACAAAGGTAATATGCCCTTCCTGGCCCTGAAGGAGGTGGACTCCCACTCCGGGACTGGGACTCAGGAGCTCAGCCCACAGGGACTCAACCCACTCTTCTGGGAGCCTGAGGGCCTCTTAGTCACTGGTAGCAATTTCGTGTCCAGGCAGCACTTACATTCCTCTTTTAAGATCTAGATTTCTTCCATCCCCCAATACAAGGCCGCATACCAATGGCAAAGGAATTTATCTTTGCTTTGGAGGATTTGACGGAGTTTCTAGATCTAGCCATGATCCAGCATCTTTTTAGCAGTTTGTCACAGCTACTTCTGCTTCTTTTTCCAGGAGTCTTTGTTGCTGGCTATGAAAGCCAGAAAAAAAATGAGATTCTTCATCTGATATTACCTCTCAGACTTTCTGTAAACGAAAACCAGGTAACTGGAAATACAAATGCTGAGTGTATGTATCTACTTTTACTCATGTGTTAAACCTTTATGGAGCCCCTATTGTCTACTGGATATTGTCCTGGATACTAGAAAGAGTGACAGGCACTGGGCCTGCCCTTTAGTCTAATAGAGGGAGGCAGACATGCACAGAGGTAAGTGCTACAAAATGTCCCGTGATTTACAGAGGGCTGCTGGAGGAAGAGGTCAATTTTATTTTATTAAAAATAGATTTAGGGAACCATTAGGGTATAGACAGTTGTTGAAGCCCTTAGAATGGTTAAGATGAATGTATAGTGTGTAAGGAATAAGAGGAGAAATGGCTAAAGACAGAACCTCAGGGAATACACTTAAAGAATGGGTAGAGGAAGATGAGCCCACAAGGAATGCTAAGAAGGAGTAGTCTTTGAAGTAGGAGTCTCAGAAAAGGTTAGTGTTTCTGAAGCCAAGAGAAGAGATTGTGTCAAGAAGAAAAGAGTTCTCTCTCTCTCTACCTGAGACCTTGATACGTGGCCCCAGGTGTGCTGTGTAATTTCCAGGTCTTATAATAATAAACCTTTATATTTTCCCCCAAAAAAGAGGAAAAGAGTTGACAGCTGCCTAATGTTGCTATAGAATCATTCAGACTCATCTGCTAGGGCAGCCTGGCACATTTCCTACCTAGTGCCCTTGATCCTCCCATCCCCACTGCTCCATCTTGAGCCAGGAGCTTGCCCAGACTGAGCCTTGATGAGAGATGGGGACCACTGGCTTTTCCTCTTTTCTCTTATGGCCACCTCCTTTTCCCTGCCTGTGGTTCCTCACGTGGAGATAGTAGTCTAGTGGCTAAGAGCATGGACTGTAGCTACACGGACTTGGGTTTAGATCTGCAACATAATTCCTGTGTGACCTTAGAAAAGTTGTTTAAGCTCCCTGTGCCTTAGTTTTGTCATTTTAGAATAGAGGTAATTATAGTACCTACATCACAGGGTGGTTGTAGGAATCCAGCGTGATAAAGTCGATAAAGCACTAAACACAGTGCCTGACACAGTGAACACTGGGTAATTGGTAGTTGTTATATTTTTATTGCTGGAAGAACCCATCTGACTTCTAGTGGGCGGTGGGGGGAGGAATGGGGATGTGTTAGTTGGCTGATACATTCCAGCTTTGTTTGATGAGGCTGTTAAGCCTCTGTGAGTCCTCTCAGAAGGCCTGGAGTATCCCACTTGTGCTCTAGTGAAAGGGGCTGGGGATGGGTTAGGAAAAGGGTTTGAAAGTGCAGGGAAGAAAGGAAGCCGTCTATGTAGGCAGCTGAGATCAGTGTTTACAAATAGCAGCGCACTGAGGCGTGCAGGGAGAAGCGTCTGTTGCCAGCTGAGAGGCTTCCAGGGCTTCCTGCCTGGCCGGGATCTAGCTCCTTACCTAGAGCGCGGCTGGAATGTTCCTTTGGAGAGCAGGCTCTACCTGATTGGCCCCCTCTTTGTCTTTTAGGGCTTATTCCCAGAAAGAGATTTTAAGGTACGCCATGGAGGATTTTCAGACAGGTCTGTCTTTGATCTGAAGCACGTGCCAGACACCAGGTATGGTCAGGTCTGGACCCAGACCTTCTGCTCAGGGTAGAGTGGCTGGAAATGACAGAGGTATCCTGCCTCTTTATCACCACCCCTACCCCCCTAGCACATGAGCATACATGAGCACACACGCACACAGAGAGATCTGGAACACAAGGACACCATCTCTCAGTGGCTTTGTGGTCTCATAGACCTTTCGACTAATGTAACCCGTGGATTGCTGGAGTTGCTCTGGGGAATAGATATAGAGAAGAAGGTTGCTCTTGGTTTCCCGGAGACTGATGGTGGGGCTAATAGCTCAATTGGCAGAGGCTGAGAGTCACTGGGTCGGGGTTGTGTGTTCAGGCTCCGTGCTGGTGTCCTCTAGGACACGTCATGCCACGTGGAAGCCTGGGCTCCGTCCCGTGACTCACCAGGAGCGGTGGGCCTGTCCCCAAAGAGGAGTGAGCCTGCCCCTCATCCGTTAGATGAGGGTGACTAGTCTTGATCCCTTCCTGCTCTGAGCTTTCCTGATACGGAGAATCCCAAGCTGAGGGCTGAAGAGGGGAAAGGCTGAGGGGGTGTGGTGAGCTCCCCACTGTCTGGACTGAGATCTCCTATCCATCCTGAATAGGTTGCTGGTGACCAGTGGCCTTCCAGGTTGTTACCTGCAGGTGTGGCAGGTCGCAGAGGACAGTGGTGAGTGAATTTGACTTGATGGGGGTTGGAGTTGTAAGAAAGCCTGATTCACACCCCTACCCCCTAATCTGAGCCAGTTAAGAAGTTGACTCAGCCAGGTGGGAATTAAAATGCAGTATCTACTTGAATGCAGGCAAAGATGGATTAGCAACCGCAGCATGGCGCACAAGCCCCAAGTGGAGCTTCCTGTAACTTGTTTCAGGAGTTTTTTTTTTTTTTGTGAGGAAGATCAGCCCTGAGCTAACATCCATGCCAATCCTCCTCTTTTTGCTGAAGAAGACTGGCCCTGAGCTAACATCCGTGCCGATCTTCCTCTACTTTATATGGGATGCCGCCACAGCATGGCCTGACAAGCGGTGTGTCGGTGCATGTCTGGGATCCGAACCCGGGCCGCCAGCAGTGGAGCACGTGCACTTAACCGCTACACCACAGGGCCGGCCCCCTTGTTTCAGGAGTTGAGTTTACCAACCCAGTCATAGGCAGAACACCTTGTGAACAACGGGCCTCTCCCCCAGGCAGGGGCAGAGATGAGGGCAGAGCTAGGGCTCCTCAGGTGAGCTCACTTCTTGGAGGAGGAGGCAGCAGGGAGGTCACCTGTCTTTGTAGGCATGCTAGTTTCAGGGAAGGAAATAGTGAGTAAGAGGCTGGGCTGCCCAGTCTCCCACTCAGAAGTCGCTCTGCTCCCCAACAGGGGAGCAGGGGAAAGGAGCAGGAAGTGTTAGTCCTGTTCCCTCTGGGACTGCAGGGGAGTTCCCTCGTGGGGGACAGTGTTCCCTCCAGCAGTGGATTTACAGTTTCCCCATCAAACAGGCACAGAACATGCAGCCCTGCCCCAGCCCCTTGCATCCCTCCATCAGTTAGAGCATTGTTGGCCAGCGTGGACGTGTGCCTCAGAGGCACCGGCCTCCTCTCTGGGAACTGCCCCCTTGCTTGTGTGATCCTCTGCCCCAGTCACCACACCACCTCAGTTAGGTCCTTCCCAGAAACTGGCCAGCGGCTGTTGGCGTCTCCCCAAGCTTTCCTGCTGCAGAAAGACCAGGTTTATGCTCATTTGCCTTGTGAGGTCACTGACCCTATGGGCTTTCCTTTGTTGTTGCTTCCCATTTTAAGTGTACAGTTCAGTGGTTTTTAGTAAATTTAGCAAGTTGTGTAACCATCACTATAAGTCACTTTTAGAACATTTTCATAACCCCAGTAAGATCCACCATGCCATTTACTGTTAATCCCCATGCCCACACCCTGCCCCAGGCAACCACTAATCTACTTTCTGTCTCTAATAGATTTGCCTTTTCTAGACATTTCATATCAATGGAATCATAGAATATGTGGCCTCTTGTATCTGGCTTCTTTCACTTAGCATAATGCTTTTGAGGTCTGCCATGGCATAGCACATATCAGTAGTTGTTTCCTTTTTATAACTGAATAGTATTTCACTGTTTAGAAGTACCACATTTGTCTATCCATTTACCAGTTGAGGAATCTGATTTTTGGCTGTTATGAATAAGGCCACTAAGAACATTCATGTACAAGTCTGTGTGTGGACATATGTTTTCATTTCTCTTGGATAGACACTTAAGAAACTTCCAAACTGTTTTTCAAAATGGCTTCATCATTTGCATTCCCACCTGCAGTGTATGAGGGTTCCTATTTCTCTGTGTCCTCACCAACACTTGTTGTCTGTCTGTTTTATTAAAGCCATCCTAATGGGTGTGAAATTGTATATCATTGTGGCTATCATTTGCACTTCCCCAATGACTAATAATGTTGAGCATCTTTTCATGTGCCTATTAGCCATTGACCTATCTTCTTTGGTGAAATGCCTATTCAAATCATCATGAGGGAGTTTTGTTGTTGTTTTTTCCCTCCAGCAGGCTGAGGCAGTATGCTGTCACAGGATATTCTGATTTCACTGTATATTTTAATAGATACTTGTTCAGATCAACCAACAATCTGTAAGATGTGACAGTAATATTAATGAGTGCATGTTATATTCCAGGCCGTGTACTAAGCACTTTGTGTGCATGAGCTCATTAAATTCTCATGAGTCTGAGAGCAGACTCTCCCAGAGAGGCAAACTTGTTCAGAGTCACTAAGATAATAGCAGAAGCAAGACTTAGGTCTAGTTTGACTTCAGAGTCTGCTCATAGCCATGCCTGGTGGTAACTATGGTTAGATAATAATAATTGATCTCAGCATAGATGTAGGGGCTCTGAAAAAAGGTGGTAGGGTGTTTACTGACCAGCAACGTGGTCTTTGCCACCATTTTGCTTAGAGCTGGTTCCTGAAGGTAGATCTATCAACGAGATCTTTTTATAATTTATAATAATAAATATTATTATTACTGTTATTTGTAGCAGTAGCTAACATCTCATCATTCAGTCAACAAATATTCATTGTGTGCTTCCAATGTGTCAAGCATTGGGCAAGGTTCCAGGGTTACAGCAGCAAGCAAAAACATAGATGTTCTGTGCTTTCTTGGGGCTTATATTTTATCAAATTTTTTTTTTTTTTTTTTTGGTGAGGAGATCAGCCCTGTGCTAACATCCGCCAATCCTCCTCTTTTTTTGCCGAGGAAGACGGCCCTGGGCTAACATCCGTGCCCATCCTCCTCCACTTTATATGGGACGCCGCCACAGCATGGCTTGCCAAAGCAGTGCGTCGGTGCGCACCCGGGATCCGAACCAGCGAACCCCGGGCCGCCGCAGCGGAGCGTGCGCACCCAACCGCTTGCGCCACCGGGCCGGCCCCATATTTTATCAAATATTTTGCCCGTTTTTTGATTGACTTTTTTGTCTTTATTGAGTTGTAAGAGTTCTTTGCACATTCTGGATACAAGTTATTTTTCAGATATGTGTTTTGCTAATATTTTCCCCCAGTCTGTTACTTGTCTTTTCATTTTCTTAATACTGTCCTTTGAAGCATAAAAGCTTTAAATTTTGATAGGTCCAGTTTATCAATGTTTTCTCTTATGGAGTGTACTTTTGGTGTCATATCTAAGAAATCTTTAATCCATAGATTTTCCCCTATGTTTTTTTCCCCAAAAGGTTTATTGTTTTAGGACCCGCCCCGTGGCTTAGCAGTTAAGTGCGCGCCCTTCGCTGCTGGTGGCCCGGGTTCGGATCCCGGGCACGCACCGACGCACCGCTTGTCCGGCCATGCTGAGGCCGCGTCCCACATACAGCAACTAGAAGGATGTGCAGCTATGACATACAACTGTCTACTGGGGCTTTGGGGGAAAAAAAAAATCAATAAAATTAAAAAAAAAAATTAAAAAAAAAAAAGATTTATTGTTTTAGCTCCAACATTTAAGTCTATGATCTCTTTAGAGTAACTTTTGTGTATGAGATAAGGGTGTAAGTTCGTCTTTTTGCATGTGAATATCCAGTTGTCCCAGCACTTCTGTCAAAAAGCCTTACCTTTCTCCATTGATTTGCCTTGGTGCCTTCGTTGAAAATCAATTGACCATAAATATAAAGATTTATTTCTGGACTCTCAGTTCTGTTCCATTGATCTATAACTGTCCTTACGCCAGTACCTTGTAATTGTTTTTTATCTTTACCTAAAAATAGGCTGTCTGGGACAGCAGTGGTTTAAAAATGAGGGGGAGGGGAGTCTTACTCAGCACTTGGTTAGTAGGTGCCTTGGAGCTTCCTTTTGTCCTGACAGTGCCTGGGGTGCGGGTGCTTTAAAGAACCTGTAGCCCCAGGCATAGGGCAGCTAATGGCCTGGGGGCTTGCTCTGACACTCATATGGGAGTAGGAAATCTTATGATAGAGTTATCTTCCCCTAGATACTAGTGCAGAATATTCCAGAGCCTGGGGAAGGCTGGCCAGCTGTTTCCCGAGAAGCCTAAAAGCATAGCATATCTTGGTGAATTTTCTGAGCTCCAGGTTTTGACCCACAGCTTTGGTGTCTCAGAAACCTGATTTTGTCAGCACATCCAGAACAAATCTAATCTGTTTATAGAGGCTGACACACTCCCCAGACTCATAGGACTGCTGTATAAATCAGAATGCATTTTATTAGTTTATAATGAAAAAATAAGTATCTGTAAAGGTAGAATATTCCAGGTCCTTAATCTTTGCCTATAGAAGACCTGACCTTATCAAAGGCTGCGTGATAAACATAAGCAAAACAAGAGGAATTAGCTCAGAGGTTTCCAAATCATGTTGCGTAGGCTCTCTTAGGCAGAAAGGATGAACCTTGTGAAGGCATTGCTGCCTGGGCCGTGTTGCTGTCCAAGCCCCTGGGGCAGTGCCTGAGGCCTCTGCTCTCAGCTCCAGGGCTGTGGAAACCATTGAGTTGGATGAATACATATCTGAAGGGCTCAGTTGAAGGTCACCAGCTGCTTCCACTTTGAAGTTAAATATTTAGTCTGGTGTGGCTCCGTCTGCCCTGGAGGGGCTCCAACGTTTTCTCTGCCTCCATGGTTGAACAGCCCCGTCTTGTGGACACCACTTTCCTTCAGACGTGTTCGTACATTTGCTCAGTGTCACAGGTTTCGGAGCCATTCTGACTCCTTACGGAGTGTGCCTACCTCTACTCTGACCCTTTCTGTGTTGGTTTAATCTTCAGACACAACCTTCTTTCTTTTATTGCCCTTGGAGTTGTTGGAGGTGCCTCGCTGTGTCTTTTGCTTTGATTTCGTAGTAGTTTCTCTTTTCAGTTTGGGGCTGGTTTGGTAAATATGGTGTGGATTTCCTAGAGGAGGGCATTTTACCCCTGACTAGAGAGAGGAGGAGTAGGAAACCTGCATTCCTTTCCTCTTGTAATTATAGAGCAGCTCTCCAGTCAGGCCCTGGAGCCTGAGTTTTCCACAGCCTCTTTGAAATAGGTCGTTGCAGGCTTTCCCTTGGCCGCCTCCTTCCCCCTATCTGGGGACATCTGAGAACCATCCCCTGGCTCAGAGCAGCAGGTCCTGGGGAATCCATTCCAGGCTCCTCAAGAGTCTGTGGAAAGGGAGGAGGGAGCCACTTGAGTGTGGCCCAGGAGAGTCAGGCAGGCTCTGCCGAGCGAGTTTGAGTCACAGCCTCATTAGCACTCCCCAGAGACCAGCTCTGCTGCCCCTGTGGTGGGAGCAGCTACGTTCAGCAAGTCTGGATGACGTGCGAGGAGAGTCTTTGGGCTTTGGGAGCAGGACTCAAGGGTCCTCGGCCTTCTTGCCCAGCCCAGACACATCCCTCTGTGCACTCCTCGTGTGTGAGCTCTCTTGAGGGACCGTGCTGCTGCATGCTTGCTTGATAAGCCGTGTCAGTGTTCCTTCTCTCATCCATTCCTTCCTCCTTCTGACTTTTACCTATCCTTGAGAATTAAAAAAAATATAGATTTCCATTTTCTTTAGAGAATGTGTAAACCAAATAATGAGCCCCCTCTTGGAGCAAGAAAATATAAAATGGAAAATATGCATCTCCCTTTGAGTAGTTTGCACAGCAGACTACTTGTTCTGAACTATGTTATAAATGGCTTCTATTAAGAGAAGCCTCAAATGTAGAATGCAGAGACGAGAACTGCCTGCTAAGCACGCAGGCCGAGGCGAACAAAGAAGAGTCAAGTTTGATTCAACTTGAGGTCAAATACATCTTTCTTCCGTTCAGTGTAAAAGAGACGGGGACCTTCTTGCCCAGTACACGATTGAAGACAACAGCCTTTCCCTGCTGGGCTTCAGCACATTGTCTGAGGTTGTAGAACATGTTTTTGAAGAAATAATAGTAGTTTATGAACTCTGTGCCTGTTATTTTCACCTAAGGTGTAAATGACATCATCAGCATGTTCTTTCCTTTTCCTTTATTGCTTCTCCACAACACTATAAAAAGCCAGAACTGCTTTTGGCGTTTTGAGATGGCTGCTGTGATTCATTATCTCTCATTTGCAAAACAGTTTATAAGACAAGTTATAAAGAAATTAAAGCACTTCTGACAGTTTCAAAATGTGAACATAATGCAGAGTGTTTATGTCTCCACATCCACTCCTGCCAACTCTCAGCTCCCTTTCTTCTTGACCTCCTAAATGTACAGGGGAAGGCTGGCTGGCCTTCACCATGTCATGTTTCAAACGGTCGTTAACATCCTGGATTTTAGCCTCTTCCACTCTCGCTCAGATGTTATCAAGGCTGTCGGCACCATTGCTGTGCACGAGAAAGAGGGGCATCTCTGGCCTAGAGTGGCCATCTTCTCGTCAGTGGCACCTGGAGTCCTCCATGGGGCGAGGCTCAGCAGTCTGAAGATTGTGGATCTGGAATCCCAGAAGACCACATACACCTCAGGTACTGCAGCAGTTCACCCCTTGCTGGCTCCTCTGGCCACCATCCGCCTCCCAGCCCTACTCAGTCATGTTTGAAACTGAATTCAACCCTGTGTGCCAGACGCTGGGGAAACAAGAGGAATGAGAAGCGAGCCCTGGCCTCAAGGGCCTCCTGTTCTGGGGTTGCAGGAGGCAGTCCTTGGGCCCAGCACCCACCAGCTAGTAATATGGAGAGATGAGTGGGAGAGGAGAGGTGTGGTTCATTCTTCTTGGGGCTGGGTGGGAAGCTTCCTAGAGGAAGGGACTTGTGACCAGCCAGCCCCACCAAATCGCCAGACCCATCTGACAGCTTTTCTCTTTTGCTGTCATCTTCCAGGTGTCAGTGACAGTGACGAGCTAAGTAGCCTGCAGGTCCTGGATGCAGACACCTTTGCCTTCTGCTGTGCCTCGGGCCGGTTGGGGCTCGTCGACACCCGCCAGAAGTGGGCTCCGTCAGAGAGTCTCAGCTCCTGCCCTGGGTCTGGTGGAGGGAGGTGGTGTGCAGAAGTTGGGGGCAGGGGCCAGGGCCATGGATGCAGCATTGCCAGCCTCGGCTCAGATGGGCAGCTCTGTCTTCTTGACCACCGAGATCTCTCCCATCCTGTAAGCTCAGTCCAGTGCCCAGTGTCCACGCCTAGCCCTGACCCAGAGCTGCTGCGAGTGACTTGGGCTCCAGGCTTGGACAACTGCCTGGCCATTTCAGGTACTGCTGAGCAGGATTTTGTGTCTGTTATTTAATCTCTGTCTTCCAGGTGACTATAGGGTGCTCAAGAAGAAGCCTGTATAGCCCCATTATAAATCTGGCCCCAGAAGTTAAAGTTGCTCACAGAGAAGCTCCAGATTAGTTCTCCAGGTTCTTCAGTAGCAGGCCCTTCCCCATTCTGGCTACTGAACTTCCACACATTGGTGGCAGGCCTTTCCTATCCCAGCAGGAATTCAGTGCTGAGATTGGTAGAGAGGGCTACAGATGGTAAGACACTAGGACAGCCATGGGGCCGTACTGGAAAGAGGTGATAGATCTCAAGGGTGTGTCTCAGTCCACATGGTTTTCCAATTACAGCAAGCCAGCTAGGTCAGCAGGCTCCTGGGTCTGGCCTGGCAGTATCCATTTGAATGAGGGTATTTAATGAGGGTATCTAAAAGCCCATGGGAAAGTTCCATTGAGGGGGGAGAGGTTGAGAGAATACTTGAGAGAGCAAGAAAGGATCATTGATAATGGCAGAATCCAGAAAGAGCAGAAGAGAAGAACCAAGCCTGGGTGGAGGGGTTGGCTCTTTGGTCACAGGAAGACAGCAGGATGGAGTGAGTGTGGGTCTAGGTAGGTCGTGGGGGGACATGAGAGTGTTCCTCTCTAAAGGATTCTGTTTCCCCCATCAAGTAGGAGACAAGGCCATCCGCTGAGAGGAACCCAGATGTGGAGGGATTAGAATTTGGGGCAAGTGGAAAAGGTTTGAAAAAGTCTCTTAAGCCTTGGTTTTGTGGGGAAGATAGTAATACCTACTTCATACAGTCGTGAGGATTAAAAGAGAGAATGCGTGTCCAGGGTTAGCCTCAGGCCTGGCACGTGAGAGATGCACAGCGGATACCCATCGTTGCGTGCCTCACAGAGTCTTCAGCTGCGCACACTGAAGGCGATGTCACATGCTCTTAAGTTGGCCTTCAAATGTCTTGTTACTGTTTGATTCCTCATCCTATGGCTTGTTTTGGTGCCATAGAACAAATTATGAAAATTATTTTAGCGATTCAGTGTCAATCTTGTCTTGTCTTCTTCTTCCTCAGGTTTTGATGGGACAGTCCAGGTCTACAATGTCACGTCTTGGCATGGAATGGGGGGCCAAGTAGAACCTCTCTTCACTCACAGAGGTCATGTCTTCCTAGATGGCAATGGGATAGACACTGCTCCACTGGTCACTACCCATACCTGGCACCCGCAAAAGCCAAGGACTTTGTTATCGGCAGCAAGTGATGCCTCTCTGCACGTGTGGGACTGGGTGGACCTCGGTGCCTCTGGCTGACACCAGTGTCTTTCTGCCCCGGCCTCTAGGAAGAGGAGGAGCTGCTGCATAGCAAAGGTTCTGATTTAGGACTCAAGTGACCACAGGTCCCTGTTACCAGCTGTACAGCCTTGGGCAAGTTAACTAGCTTCTCTTAGTCCCAGTTTCTTTATTTGCAAAATGAGACTAGTAATACCTCGCAGGGTTGTTGGGAAAATTAGAAGTAATATATTAAAAAATAACTGGTAGGATGCATGGCACAATAAATATTTGGTAGGTCCTGTTAGATCTGGGAACCTCATTTCCCCTAAGTGTAAAATATTAGTGTTTTATCCCTGTCTGTAATCACAATATCAGTGAGAATCGGATGAGGTAACAAATGTAAACATGTTTTGTGAACTTTTTTACAGAACTGAAAATGGATAAGCGACAATTAACATGAAAAGTCAACCCCAGTAGCAATGAAGGAAATAGCAATTAAAGCAAGATTATGCCATTTTTACCTACCAGATTGCCAAATTTTAAAACGTTATTGCTTTGTACAGCTGACAGAGGTTGCGTGATCCATAGTTCAGAAGGTACAAAGGAGCACCGTGGTTCTCTCTCCCAGTTGTACAATGTGCCATTGTTCAGTTGAACCATAGTTTATGTATCCAATCACCTGTTAAATGACAATTAAAATTTTCTAATCTTTTGCTATTACAAATAGTGTGAAACAACTTTTGTACCCATGAACAGTGTGTCTATAGGGTAAATTTCTTTCTTTCTTTCTTTTTTTTGTGAGGAAGATCAGCCCTGAGCTAACATCCAATACCAATCCTCCTCTTTTTCCCTGAGGACCATTGGCCCTGAGCTAACATCCTACCCATCTTCCTCTACTTCATATAGGATGCCACCACAGCATGGCTTGACAAGCGATGCGTTGGTGTGCACCCAGGATCCGAATCTGCGAACCCTGGGCCACTGAAGCGGAGCGCGCGCACTTAACCGCTATGCCACCGGGCTGGCCCATGTAGGGTAAATTTCTAAGGCGGAGGGTATGTGCGTTTTTAGGTTTTATAAATACTGCCAAAGTGCCCTCGTGGAGATTGTGCCATTTTATGATGCCAACAGTCATGGGTCTGTCTCTCCTGCCCACCAACAAAGTCAACTAGTGGTTTTTTGACCTTTGCCAGTCTGATAAATGAAAAATCATTTCTTGTAGATTTAGTCTGCATTTCTCTTAGGTGTGAAGTTGAGGCTCTTCATACATTTAAAAGTTTGGGGGCAAATATTTGGTAAAGATCATAATAGCCAGGGTGGAGAAATAGGCATTCTCACCCGTGCCACCTGGAGCACTGGGACTCAGGCAGAGCCTGGACCTCCCTCCTCGTGGTGGTCCTCACTGGAACACGGCCTTTGCTGGGGGTTGCTTTCCCACACCTGTCCCCTTGGGGGAGTAGGCCCAAGGGACATTTCTTTTTGGTGGCCCATAGCAAATATTAAAGTATACCTGCATTCCCATTACGTATCATTTCTTACTGTCAAATTTGTTAAAGGATTTTCAGCAATTTTGCTTTTAAAATTATTTGATTACTAGTCACAGTTTGGCCTTTGATTTTTTTGTTTTGTTTTTGTTTTGAGGAAGATTGGCCCTGTGCTAACATCTGTTGCCAATCTTCCTCTTTTTCTTTTTTCTCCCCAAAGCCCCAGTAAATTGTTGTCTATCATAGTTGTAGAGTTGTAGCTCTTCTATGTGGGATGCCACCTCAGCATGGCTTGATGAGCGATGAGTAGGTCTGCGCCCAGGATCCGAACCAGCGAACCCCCGGGCTGCCAAAGCAGAGCACACGAATTTAACCGCTATACCACCAGGCCGGCCCCAGGGCTCTGATTTTTTAAAAAGTATCTTTATTGAGATATAATTCACACACTGTACGTATAATGCACACACCACACAATTCACCCACTTAAGGTTTACAGTTAAATGGTTTTTGGTATATTATTAATTTTTAAAGGTTGTAAAATTTATATAACAATTTTCCATTTTTAAGTGTACAATTCAGTGGCATTAATTGTATTCACAATGTTGCACAACCTTCACCACTATCTATTGCCAAAACTTTTTCTTCATCACCCCAAACAAACTCTATGACCGTTATGAGCTCTGGTTTTTTGGCTATCAATTGAGCATACTTGGTGTATTCGTCCACTTGGGCTGCCATAACAAAATACCACAGGCTAGGAGGCTTAAACAACAGAAATTTCTCTCTCACAATTCTGGAGGCTGGGAAGTCCAAGATCAAGGTGCTGGCTAGATAGGTTTCATTCTGAGGTGTCTTCTCTTGGCTTGTAGGTGGCCGCCATCTCGCTTCGTGCCCTTTTTGTGCCCTTGCAGAGAGAGAGCTTTTATAAGGACACCAATCCTTTCAGATTATGGCACCACCTTTATGACCTTATTTAACTGTAATTACCTCTTAAAGGCTCTGTCTCCAAATACAGTCACATTGGGGGTTGGGGCTTCAACGTAGGACTTTGTGGGGGACACAATTCAGTCCATAGCACTTAGGATGTATTTCTGTGTGCGTGAGGAAGATCAGCCCTGAGCTAACATCTGTTACCAATCCTCCTCTTTTTGCTGAGGAAGACTGGCCCTGGGCTAACATCCATGCCCATCTTCCTCTACTTTATATGGGACACCTGCCACAGTGTGTCTTGATAAGTGGTGCGTCAGTCCGCACCTGGCATCCGAACTTGCGAACCCTGGGCCGCTGAAGTGGAGTGCACGAACCCAACCACTACACCACTGGGCCAGCCCCTAAAATGAATTTTTTTGTGTGTGTGTGAGGAAGATCAGCACTGAGCTAACATCTGATGCCAATCCTCCTCTTTTTGCTGAGTAAGATTGGCCCTGAGCTAACATCCATGGCCATCCTCCTCTACTTTATATAGGACGCCACCACAGCATGGCTCTACAAGCAGTGCATCGGTGGGTGCCCAGGATCCGAACTGGCGAACCCCGGGCCGCCGCAGCGGAGTGCGTGCACTTAACAGCTTGCGCCACCGGGCCGGACCCTAAAATGAATTTTTTTATTACTTAATTTAACAGTGAAGTTGAGGGAACATTACATTTTGGAAAAGTTTAGAATTTTCAGTTTCAAGATGTGATCATTCTTACCATTTTCTGTAATCTTTCCAGTCATTTTCTCTCCCTGCCCAGTACCCCCTTGAGAGCTGATTCTATAGCTCTCTTCCCCACTCTTCAGTGATGTCATATTGATGGTTTGAAATTGGTGATGATGGAATAATTTACACCACAGAAATTGGCAAACACTACAAATCAGGGCTTTTTTTTTTAAGACAGCTGGCTTACCGGAATACCACTGGCTAAACTATATTATTTCACAAGTAAAGACAGAAATGAATAATTTAGAAAATAGAATTGATGCATGAATTCAAAAGCTGCTTCGCTGAAATATATTGATAAAACATGTCAGTCATGGTCCAGGCAGGAAGACTGAACCCACACCAGGTAATTCAGTTGAGGGAATTTGGTTACGTGGTATCTGAAAGAGGATCCAAGGGAAGGTGAGGCACTCAGAGATGAGCAACAGCAGGAAGTTACACAGAGAGACAAAAGGAGGTGATGGGTGGGTATGACCAGAGCCCATGAGTGGGGCTTCCTGGTGGGAACTGTGGCCACAGTAATCCTGCCTGGCTGGGGCTGGGACTGTGGAGCAGGGCCTGACTAGCAGGTGCTGGGACTGCAGGAAGTACAGAGAAATGCGAAGTCCCCTGGCTTCTCTCCTTCCACCCTCCACTATCCTGCCTGGGCCATGGACCAAACCTGACAGGAGCTTGTCAGCAAGGGAGCCTGGGAGATGCAGTGAGCAGGAGTCCGCACCCTGTGATACAAAGCAGAGAGGGGACGGACCCGGGATGGAGCTGAGGACAAACAGGCAAATGACTGGCACCACATCCAAATCCATACAAATCAAGGAAAAGGAAAGAAAACAAAGAAAATAGAACAAGGATATCACAACAGGACTAGAGAACAAGAATTAGAATAGTGTGCACAATTATGTTAATTGAAAATCTCAAGATGATACAGTTAATTTTCTTGAAAATATATACATTGATTTTTTTTTTTTTTCTCCCAAAGCCCCAGTAGATAGTTGTACGCCATAGTTGCACATCCTTCTAGTTGCTGTATGTGGGACGCGGCCTCAGCATGGCCGGAGAAGCGGTGCGTCGGTGTGCGCCCGGGATCCGAACCCGGGCTGCCTGCAGCGGAGCGCGCGCACTTAACCGCTAAGCCACGGGGCCGGCCCTACATTGATTTTTATAAACTATTTTTTTAGTAGAAAATCTGAATGATCCAATGCTCCAGAAAGAAAAACTGTTCCAAGAGTAACACCAAAAAGAATATAGGGTGTGGGACAATTTTGTGGATAAACTTTTTCAAACTTTTAAAAAAACAGCAAATTCCCCTGCTATAGAGACCATTTCATTAAAAAAAAAAAATCTGGAAAACTAACCAACTCGTTTTATGAAGGTACTATTATCATAATCCCAAAACTTGGTCAAGAAACTGTGTGCTCACATACACACGCTCACTCAGGCTCAATTATTAACCCTTAGACAGTGGCCCTCAACACTATCAACCCCAACAGTCCTTTTATAACCAATATTTTGAAGACCCCTTTACTATCCTGAAATAAAATTTTATAGGGAATATTGATTGTTTACAAACATAATTTCAAAATCACTATAAAATACAAGGGAATAAAACAATATTTCAATATATAAATGTTCATACTTTTACATGGCGATGTAATCAGATGCTTGCACGGTGTGTAAAATCCTCAAGAACAGGACAGCTGCAATTACAGACCAATACAGGTGTGCTGCGTTTGCTTCACACACCAGAGAGCCAATGACATGATTTTTCTGAACTGGTGAACAACTCTTTGGGAAGTTCTGAACAAAAGAATGTACTGTTTTCCTTAGTTTTATGCAGCAGTTGTGTTTCTGGGAAATTTGGGTGTATGAAAACTGTGCAAAACTTTCCTTGTGTATATGTGAAAAATTAGGTTTTAGGCCCCTACTTCAGTGGTTCTCAAACTTGACCATGCGTGAGAATCACCTCGAGGCCTGGTTAAAACACAGATTGCTGGGCTCCACTCCCAGAGTTTCTGACCAGTAGGAGTATTAGGGTTTAATGAGAGAAGGAGACCAGTAGGAGCTATTTCTCACACACACACACACACACACACACACACACACACCTGATGCTCCATATTGTGGGAGCTGCTCCAGCAGTCTCTCTAAGGCTCTTGTCTTTATGTCTGCTGCCTGAGCGTGGGGCTCACAGGGCAGGCCTCTGGGAAGGAAGATGGGTGTACAGTGGGGAGAGCAAGGACCAGCTGGAGCCTGTCTATTCCCGTTGTCTCCAGTCTTGGTGATGTAGGTCTCCTGCAGGAGGAGCTGGTGCCCTTCATCATGGAGCTAAACACACCCTTGGCCTAGGAGTGAGAGAAGCTGAAGGAGGATGATGGGAAGGTGGACCTGCTGCAAGTGATAAGCGACAAAGTGCGTGAGCTACAAACTCACCTGCCCCATGGCCCAGGCATAAAAACGCTTCACTACCATCCTCCAAATCTCACTCAAAAATGGCTCCTGTGCACACAGATCAATGGAACAGAATTGAAAGCCCAGAAATAAAACCACACATATACGGACAGCTAATTTTCGACAAAGGTGCTAAGAACATGCAATGGAGAAAGGAAAGTCTCTTCAATAAATGGTGTTGGGAAAACTGGACAGCCACATGCAAAAGAATGAAAGTGGACCATGTGCTATCGCCATTCACAAAAATTAACTCAAAATGGATCAAAGACCTGAAGGTGAGACCTGAAACTATAAAACTCATAGAAGAAAATATAGGCAACACACTATTTGACATTGGTTTTAAAGGAATCTTTTCGGATGACATGCCTACCCAGACTAGGGAAACTAAAGAAAAAATAAACAAGTGGGACTTTATCAGATTAAAGAGGTTTTATAAGACAAATGAAACCAGAATCAAGATGAACAAACAACCAACCAGCTGGGAGAGAATATTTGCAAAACATACATCTGACAAGGGGTTGATCTCCATAATATATAAAGAACTCACACAATTGAACAACAAAAAAACAAACAACCCGATCAAAAAATGGGCAGAGGAAATGAACAGACACTTCTCCAAGGAAGATATACAGATGGCCAATAGGCACATGAAAAGATGCTCAACATCACTAATCATCAGGGAAATGCAAATCAAAACAACACTAAGATACCACCTCATGCCTGTTAGAATGGCTATAATCACCAAGACAAAAAACAACAAATGTTGGAGAAGATGTGGAGAAACAGGAACCCTCATACACAGCTGGTGGGAATGCAAATTGGTGCAGCCTCTATGGAAAACGGTATGGAGATTCCTCAAAGAATTAAAAATAGAGATGCCCTATGATCCAGCCATCCCACTACTGGGAATCTATCCAACGCAACTGAAATCAACAATCCAAAGAGGCTTATGCACCCCTATGTTCATTGCAGCATTATTCACCATAGCCAAGAAGTGGAAGCAACCTAAGTGTCCCTCGACTGACGATTGGATTAAGAAAATGTGGTATATATATACAATGGAATACTACTCAGCCATAAAAAAGACAAAATCGTCCCATTTGCAACAACATGGATGGGCCTGGAGCGTATTATGTTAAGTGAAATAAGCCAGAAAGAGAAGACAAACACTGTATGATCTCACTCATATGTGGAATATAAACCAACACATGGACAGAGAAAACTGGACTGTGGTTACCCGGGCAGTGGGGGTGGGGGGTGGGCACAAGGGGTGAAGGGAGTCATATATGTGGTGATGGACAAACAAAAATGTACAACCCAAAATTTCACAATGTTAGAAACCATTAAAACATCAATTTAAAAAAAAAAATGTCTCCTGTGCCCCATGCTACCTGGAAACATACAGGGAAGTGAATTTTGGGGACTGTGGTTCCACCTAGCCAAGTCATCACATTATAAAGCCACCTCAAGTTTGAGGGTGGAGCTCAAGAATTTGCATTTCGAATAAGTTCCCAGGTGATGCTCATGCTGCAAGTCTGTGGCCCACACTGAGAATCATCGCCCTCTATGCATCTCCAGCAGGATAGTTGTGCAGAACTGTCTCAATAGTCGCATTACATCTATGTGGCCCCTGCCGCCATGTGCCAGTTGTAACCCCAATTTTTGTGACAACCACAAATCCCTGCCTGCAATTTCCAAAATGCTTCTTTGAGAACTTAGGCATTCCAGGGGCCGGCCCAGTGGTGCAAGCGGTTAAGTGCGCGCGCTCCGCTGCGGCGGCCCGGGGTTCACCAGTTCAGATCCCCAGGCACGCACCGACACACGGCTTGTCAAGCCATGCTGTGGTGGCGTCCCATATAAAGTGGAGGAAGATGGGCATGGATGTTAGCCCAGGGCCAGTCTTCCTCAGCAGAAAGAGGAGGATTGGCAGATGTTAGCTCAGAACCAGTCTTTCTCACAAAAAAAAAAAAAACTTACGCATTCCACAGGAAGGAACTCCTGGGGTTCTCTCAAGCAATTCTAGGAAGATGCCCCAGAGAATACCTAAAGACCAAAAGAAAATCAGCTATTCACATTAACATCAGCACAGGATCCACTCCGGTTCAGCTGTGGGCAGGGAGAGAGGAGACTCAGCAGCATGGAAGGGAGAGAAAGTTCAGGAACTGTTTTGGCATCACAAAAATTCAAGATATGAGGAAAGACTAAGCCGCAATTTGGAGAGGATGAAAGAGGAGGAAGCAAGAAATCCAGCAAATAGCAATGTAGAGAAGGTGAGTAATTCAATTTGGGGAAGTACTTGTACATGTGTGTGCTCAGAAGGGTGTATTCCAGAATAGGATGGGTCAAGGTAAAGAAAGATGTCACCAGACCAGAGGAAGAAGCCCCTTCTTTGGAACTGCCTCCCACTCATACAGATCTTCGAAAAGGGTGAGTTAGCCAGCTCTACCTGACCACAGCTGGTTGGACCAGGGATGAACCTGTGACCCAGGGGCCCAAATCCGTTCACTGGGATGAGCCAATCTGATCTCCCATGAGAATTTGAACTACACAACACAGAACTACAGTCCAACAGGGAGAGCCGAATCAGTGCCCAGGTCAGCTCCACATGTGTGAGGCTGGGTTTCTGGGGAGCAGGAACAAGTGTCTGGGGAAGGAGCCACGCCACAGAGACTGGAGCACATGTGGAGAGAATAGCAGAGCCTGAGACAGAGGGACCAAGAGGATAAAGAACAGGGAGACAGAGAGAGAGCACGATAAAGCGTGAATGAATCAAGGAAACGGGAACAGTCCCTCCCATATGTGATCACTCTGACTGGTTATTATGAACGGGTCCAGTCACTGGAGGTTAGGGAGGGAAGCAGGTGTCCCCACAGCTGTGGGAAAAGGAGGTGATGTATTGGTTCTGATGCTCTCAACCAGCATTTACTGAGTGTTGCTGTGTGCCAAGCACCATGCTGGATGCCAGGATACAAGACACAGAGATATATAAATATGACCCCACTAGTGGGGGAGTTGGGAGGAGCACTCAGAGGGAAGGGGTCGTGTGTTCTGGGAGCACAGAGGGCTGAGTATCCACCTCGCTTGGTTAGAGACCAGGTGTGATCAGGGAATGTGATACTTGAGTTGTATCCTTCCTTCAGGCCAAGGGGCAGGGGATGGGTTCCAGCCGCAGGGAACAGCATAGGAAAAGACAGAGGTGAGAAAAGGCCTGGGGAACAGAGGAAGTTGGAAATGCAACTGAGAAAATGGGCTGTAGCCGATCAGTAATGGCCCTGTAAGCTGTGCCAAGGGTTGAGCCTGGGAGTCCCTGAAGGATTCGAAGTGATAGGGCAGTGTGAACAGATGAGGGAGGCGGCTATTGCGGCTGTGGATGAGGGGATGTAGGCCTCCCCTAGGCAGGAAGAGCAAGGATGTGTGATCAGATGCTCAGATCTGTGGTCGTCATCTTTACATGCTCTTTTGCTGTTTTGGACACATTTCACATATGAAGTGTAACGAGTCAGTGAAGTGGTTCAGATCTTCTCTACCCTTAGACTTGGGCAGAATGGATGCCGGGAAGTAAGCCAGACACAAAAGGACAAATGTACGATTCCACTTAAATGAGGTACGTAAAATAGGCAATTCATAGAGACGGAAAATGGAGTGGTGGTTGCCAGGGACTGAGGGGAGGGGGAATGGAGGGTTATTGTTTGGTAGGTACAGAGTTTCAGCTTGGGATGATAAAAAAGTTCTGGAGTTGGATAGTAGTGATAGTTGCACAAAAATGTGAATGTACTTAATGCCACTGAATTGTACACTTAAAAATGGTTAAAATGGTCAATTTTAAGTTATGTATATTTTGCCACAATTTTTGAAAAATGGATGCCAGGGCCCTGTGCTTTAGAGAGCCAGGCCACACTTCAGCCCTCCTGTAGGCGTGCTCTTCTCCATGGAGCGAGAAGTCCACAAGGCTGTGTGCCCACAGATCTTACACTCCTCTTCCAGATCATCTTCCAGGAACTCAGGACCCAGAATTCCCTGTCCAAATGCAGAGCCTGCCTCCAGGGCCTGCACAGCCTCTTTTCCAGCCCCCTCCTCTCAAGGGCAGACTGTGCAGTCAGAGTGTGCACTCTGGGCTTGAGAGGTGGCCCAAGTGGCTGTTTACGGAGAGTGTGGACAGGGCTTGCACATACAGACCAGGGTATCCACACACTTGCAGGTGAGGCCTCTCACAGTCAGAGCCGAGGATGGGACGAGAGCAGGGGAGGGCACACCACCATGTTCCATCATGGAACTTGCAGGAGTCCAAAATTCTAAATTCAAAACCTGTCTTCATCACTTCACACCGTCTAGGATGGCTGTAATAAAAAAGACAGACTATAACAAGTTTGGGGAGGCTGTGGAGAAATCAGAACCCTCATACACTGCTGGTGGAAATGCAAAATGGTGCAGCCTCTTTGGAAAATAAGTCTTACAGTTCCTCAAAAGGTTCAACATCGGGTTACCATATGACCCAGCAATTCCACTCCTAGGTATTTATCCAAGAAAACTGAAGACATATGTCCACACAAAGACTTGTAAAAACTTGTACATGAATGTTCATAGCAGCATTATTCACAATAGCCAAAAAGTGAAACAAGCCAATGTCCACCAACTGATGAATGGATTAACAAAATGTGGTATATCCATATAATGGAATATTATTAGGCCAGAAAGAGGAATGAAGTACTGATACGTGCTGCAACGTGGATGAACCTTGAAAACATGAAGCTAAGTGAAAGAAGCCAGTCACCAAAGGCCACTTACTGTGATTCCATTTATATGAAATGTTCAGAACAGGCAAATCCATACAGACAGAAAGTAGATTAGTGGTTGCCAGGGAATGGGGGGCGGTAGGGAATGCGGAGTGACTGCTAATGGGTATAGGGTTTTCTGGAGTGATGAAAATGTTATAAAATTAGATAGTGGTGACAGTTGCACAATTTTATAAATATACTAAAAACAACTGAATTTTAAACTTAAGAAAACACACAAAATCTGGCCTTCCGCATCATAGTGAAGTACAGTTGTCAAGGTGGGAGGACAATTTAACATTCTGTTAGCTGGATTTATAATTCTTAGTATTCAGATACGTGTTATAGCGTGTCACCCTCCATTTGCACTCTTTGCCCAGGGTCTCACAGTGTTAGGGTCAGGCCCTGGGTCTGCAGCAGGGTTAAACGTTCTGAATGATGGTGACGTGTTTGGAGAATCAGACCTCGGAATCAGGAGTGACAGCTCAACCACTTCCTTGTTTTGCAGATAAAAATGCAGAGCACAGAGAGGTGATGTAGCCTGGACAGGGAGGGCATCCCCTTGGTATTTAACCATTTAGGACCAGCTAGCCATTCCACCCAGGGGCGCATGGCCCAGAGCCGCTGTGGGAGATAGGGTCCTGCTGCTTCCAGTAGGTTTTGATCCCACGGGCTTTCAGCAGGTAAGCATCTCTCTGCTTCAGCAGGCCTCTGAGAGAGATGCTGTCCTTACCTAATGGTCTATGGAAGGGATTCTCAAGAGTAATTTTGACCGTACACAATCATTTCTTATGTGCTGACCTCACAGCCCACCCGCCACATAAGCTGTGGCTCCCAACAGTTTGCCCAGTCGGGAGGCTGATATATCACAGTGATTAAGACCCTGCATTGGAGTAAGACCAATCAGGGCCCGAGTCCCAGCTCTGCGTTCAGTTTCCCCTCCTGCCAAAGGGCATAATCATAGTACTACCTCAGGGAGTGGCTGAGACACTTACATGAGACCCTGCAGTGAAGTGCTTAGTGCAGGGCCTGACACACAGGAACAGTCAGTAAATGTAGCTGTTCTCTCTCTGCATTGTTTTTTTTTTGTATGTGTGTGAGGAGGACTAGCCCTGAGCTAACATCCATGCCCATCCTCCTCTTTTGCTGAGGAAGACTGGCCCAGGGGCTAACATCTGTGCCCATCTTCCTCTACTTTATATAGGATGCCGCCACACCATGGCTTGACAAGCAGTGTATCAGTGCGCGCCTGGGATCCGAACCCGTGAACGCCGGGCCGCCAAAGCAGAGTGCGCACACTTAACCGCTGCACCACCAGGCCAGCCCCTCTCTCTGCATTCTTGACTAGAGGACTGATACAGCCGCGTTGAAGGACCGTAAAGCTGGAGTCCTGGGGAGAAGTAAAAGGAGAAGGTCATGTTCTCTGGGGGTGAAGCAAAGCTATGAAAGCAGGTGAGTGGGAGCCCCGTTCTGGGCTGAGTCAGCTAGGAGGCCTGGGTCAGCTCACCAGACAGTGGCACTTGTAAGTCCCATGTGGCCTGCTATATTCTTTGCAGACATCAGTCGGACACAGGTCTCTGCCCTGGGGCTTAGAGTCTAATGACAAATTTGATAAAAATGTCTCTCACTTTGACCATCCACTCACAGAATTCACTTGGAATTCATTTATTTAATGGGTTAATATACTTGTGTCAGCTTTGGCTAGCAGGATTAGTGCCCTGAAACCCAGCTCCTGTGTTTCTTGCTATCCGTAAATGAGAATAAGAACCAGTATTTTTGCAGTTTTTTCAATAAAAATTTTTCAAGACATAATTTGATCGTGTCATCTATTGCAACTTTTATAATAATATAAGTGAATTTCATGCATTCCAAGTTGTAACTTTCATTATTATTTTTATCTTGAGGGACTTCCAAGTAAACGGCCTCCAGAAGCCACCCTGATCATCTGGGTCACACACTTTGAAGCTGTGACTGTGAGTGTGACTTGAGTTAAAAATAAGAGACTCCAGAACTTTGCTCATGCCGAGTACAGTGGCAGACAAAAATAAATCAAAATACTTATGAGCAAGATAATGGATGACTGCAGTTTCAAATAAAAATTAGGACCCTGTAAAAATCATCCTATTACATTTGGTTCACTGGGAAACATCTCCATGTGATTTAACTACAGTCTAGGGGCCGGCCCCGTGGCATAGTGGTTAAGTGTGCACACTCCGCTGCTAGCGGCCCGGGTTCGGGTCCCGGGCACGCACTGACACACTGCTTGTCAGGCCATGCTGTGGCAGCGTCCCATATCAAGTGGAGGAAGATGGACACAGATGTTAGCCCAGGGCCAGTCTTCCTCAGCAAAAAAAGAGGAGGATTGGCATGGATGTTAGCTCAGGGCTGATCTTCCTCACACACACACACACAAAACTACAGTCTAACTCCCTGTTTGTGGTGTGTTCCATTTAGGAGTTCTAACAGCAAACACTGCTTAAAGCAATTGTCTATCATGTCATATTGCTCTAAGGATTGTAAAATATGCATAAAATATCTACAATCTCCAGCTCAGTTTTCCCATTATTTTGTTCCATTCCAAAGAAGTACGATGGCAAAAGTTTCCAAAAGGGAATCTGGTTATTTACAGTCGTTTTATAATGCAGAGCTACATTAGGTTTTAGTATGATGAATTTCCACCTAAGTAAAGACTATCTCATTGAAAAGAGTGAAATAATTTAAAATAATCCATATCAGATTTATTTCCTGGCCATACAAAAAATTCTAAACTCAAATTTCTGGGATACTTCTTTGGAAATCATCTCCAAAAACAGGCTCTTTGAAAAGTCTCCTCAATGACAGCAAACTGACATCCTTGGAAGGGATTCTATTTTTGGAAAGGAGATATTGGGCAGAGCCAAGTCTCACGGATAAGAGATGATCAGGCTAGATAATAAACAAGATGGTCATTCTGTCCGCATTTATTAAGCCCACCCATGGGCAAGACACTACTCTACGTGCTGGAAATACATGGATGTGAGGCTTCTTTAGGTCGTTTGAAGACAATTCTTAAAGGAAAACTCAAAGAATGTCTTCAATAATGGCAACAACATATCAAGTCCACAGCCCAGCAAAATGACTACTTTTGACAGACAACACTTGGATAAGTTCTTTTTAAAAAAAAAAAAAAGATATTATTCAATAATCATATTTTATAAATCTAATCAGATAAAAATTATATGTGTAGATTGTGCTTTGTTTTATAATTGATGGGTTTCTGGAAAGTTATGGGAAAGTATTTTAAAAGCAAACACACAAAGCAAACTATTTTAAGAGGGAGAAACTGTGTTCCATTTATTTCTGAACACCACTTGCTCTGTATGTCAGAGTCCCTCCAGGCACTCTGCTCTGCGCTTGCAGAGAGGCCCAAATCTCTGGGCACCTGTTGACCTGTCCATAGCCTTCCTGGTAGAGCTTGAGCACCAAGGGGAACTGGTGGATTTGTCAGAGGCAGGTGATATAGAGGTAAAGCCTTCAACCAGGAGTCTTCTTAATCAACGCTACAGTTCTTAGTTATTGCTCTGGACATGTTTACAAACAGAAAAGGCTTTGCCCACTTCATTATCCTGGTTCACAATCTTCTAGACCCTGTCTCACATTTTTAGGATACAGTATGAGCTGTAAGGCTCTACAGCAGCCCTGCTGGCAATTTGGAGTAATTCTACCATGCAAAAATTCTATTTAGGTTGAATCATGAAATTGCTGGGTTTGTAGATCAAAAATAGCAGTCTCTTATGGTTCAACCTACTATGTTGAGAGGAAGAGTAGGTTGTTGTTTAGAAAGCCAACCTCTAGCATTGACCTTTTCTTCTTTTCCCTCCTCCAAATAATATAATAGAGCATTTTCCTCTCAAGTAACTCCATGTAGATCCTATGAAAAGGAATGTGGGGAAATGTCGACAGTTCCTGGGCCCCAATCTTCCCATAGGGAGAACAGTGGAAGACCTTTAAAAATGTATTTAGTTAGTAAATCCTTGTCTAGCTGCCCAGTGCTGAGAAGAAACAGCTCAGCCATTGCTGGCTCTATAGCTGACTCATTAACACCATCATTAACACCATCATTAACACCATCAGCGCAGGAGGGCAGAGCCTCCCCAATCATTGAAGGAGGGTCTCGGGGACAAGAATCTCACCTTAATATTACCAGCTGTGAAAATTAAGGCACAGAATCACAATGAAGACACACTGAGATGCTGATACAGTCAAATTCAGAACTAGTCTCTGAATTCTCTGGAAATTAGCTTCCATTTCAACAGCATGGATAAGAAAGCCCTGAGTAGTATTTCATAAGCCAAGTGAGTATTTAGTGAGAGAAACAAAATAAGGTCTGCTGGACTGGGATCTAAATTCTCTCTCTCCGTCTCCTGTGGGTGTTGTGGTACAGAATCAAGGGCAATACAAACCCTTTTTGGGGATGGATTCAGTGGTGTTTTCAGACTTGATGCTTTAAAGACATTTCTCCTACAGTTAGAATCTTTCTCTCACATGGGTTCTCTGACGTGCGCTGAAATGTGAACTACTGTTGAATCGCCTCCCACATTCAACGCATTCATAGGGTTTTTCTCCTGTGTGGATTCTCTGGTGTATAATAAGACTTGAGCTCTGATTGAAGCTTTTCCCACATTCCCCACATTTATAGGGTCTCTCTCTAGTGTGAGTGCGCCAGTGGGTAATGAGGTTTGAGTGGTCACTGAAACTTTTCCCACATTCGAGACACTCATAGGGTTTCTCTCCTGTGTGGATCCTCTGATGGCTGGTGAGAGTGGAACTCTTACTGAACTTTTTCCCACACTCAGGGCACTGGTAGGGTTTTTCGCCAGTGTGCGTTCACCAGTGAGCGCTAAAATGAGAGCTATTGGTGAAACTTTTTCCACACTCACTACACTTATGGGGTTTCTCTCCTGTGTGGATTCTCTGATGCATCAGAAGGCTTGAGCTCTGGTTGAAGCTTTTCCAGCACTCTCCACATTTATAGGGCTTCTCTCCTGTGTGGATTCTCTGGTGTGCTGCGAGGTTAGAGTGATTGCTGAAGCCTTTCCCCCATTTGGGGCATGTGCAGGGCTTCTCCCCAGTGTGGATTCTCTGGTGGCAAACCAGATGTGAGCTTCAGCCAAAGCTTTTCTCACAATGGCCACATTTATAAGGTTTCTCTTCTCCGATGTAGGCTAATCTGTGGATAGCTAAGTGGGAGCTCTGGCTGAAATTCTTTCAACATTCACAGCATATATTGGACTTTTCTCCTATATAGGCTCCCTGAGGACCTATGAATTTACCTAAGTCTCTTTCTAGAGGAGAGAGTGACTCTTGTCCATCTTCTTAGGATATTTCCCATTGCTTTTCTGCCCCATATTTACTTTCACAGTCTTTCTTCCAATTAAAGTATTGGGAAACGTCCATTTGGGGTCTTTCTAATAATGCCCCAGGTAGTTCTACTTCCTCTGAAATGTCCTGGCTTGAATTTTCCTCATTCTCTGTCCTTGTTTCAAGATCTGACAGAATGAAATGAAATGCAAATGCCATCTGTTTTCTGAATTCAGAAGAATGGAAACAATGTAAATGACGTCCTTACTAGACTCTTAAAAACAAGTTATTGATGGTGACAGATAGAGCATTGTCAACTTTCCATCAACCGGGAAAAAATAAACTGGAGAATGGCTGAACCATGGTTAAAACGAGCAGATTTCCAGGTTCACTCACTCCCCCGTTTCTAAACAAGGTCATGTGGAGAAAGGCTGAGATAAAAGGAGGTAGGCAGCCTCCAGGCCCATTCCTCCCTCTTTAGTCAAAGCACCTCCCCACTCCTCAGAGGCTCTGCCTCCAAGCATGGCTCCTCCTCTCCTCCCACCCTCCTATGGACTGGCAATCAGTACTAAAAAACTCCCTTTCTCTTCTTGATACTGCCTTCTAGGTAGAGGGACATGCCTTAAATAATTCTCCTGCCTTTCTCCATCCCCTTCCTTACAAGTGGGAGGAAGGACTTCTTTGATTAACAAGGAGCTGGGTGTAGGTAGCTCAGAAGATCCACAGTGAAGGCTCTATCTCTGCAGGGCGAGGCTGTGGTTGTCTAGAGCTGCCTGTGGCTCGATGCTGGGGTTCAATATTAGGAAACCCACTGTGGCCACACATCTAAGCCACATTCTCCAACAGCTCCACGAGTTAGAAAGTTGCCATTCTGATTTCAATGTCTTACTCTTTGAATGTCTACATTCATTGGAATGTCTACAACTTCCAGTTGGTCTGGAATCTGGGTAGGGGAAGAACAGTACTATTATCGGATCCCTTAAAATTCCAACAAAACAACTGAGCCCCACCAAGGAGGGGGGCTCATCTTAAGCATGAGAAATTCACCCCTCCAGTAATCAAAGTAGACCATAGTTTTAATTTGGTATCATCCATGCTCACTTCTTCTATTAACCTGGTTAAGTGACAGTTCACTATAGTTAAAATTCAGATAGGAATTTAAGAGGGAAATCATAAACACTAATAATTTGTTTATATCTATATTAGGTAACTAAGGGGAAGAGGCTTTCCTGGGTGCCACCTGCTTCTCTGTTCTTCTCCCAACTCCTGTGGTTTCAGCCCCACAGAACAATAAACCGGGAAGGCCAAGTGCCTGGCTTGCCCAGTGCTGGCTTGTCCATGTTCAGAATTCCAGGTCTGACTTCTTTGTTGGTGGAATACTAGATTTCACTTGCTTTCACTCATTTCTCACCTGCACAGGAAGTTTTCCGAATTTCCTTGAAGTCCCAGGGATTGTCACTCCAAAGCTCTTCAATTCTCTCAACCCTTGAGACCCCATCTGGCTGGGGAACTAGAAGTCCTGCTCAAGGAAAGGCAAGCAGGGACATGGAGTTCTTATGTAATTTGCTTTCGTTCTCATATCTGGAAGTGGTAGGTGAAATGAGAATGGAAGCACTTCCCAGAAAGGTCTAGTTTTCAGAAGAAAAAGTTCAGTTAATGACTCAGGAAATTTGCCCCCCTAAGTGAGGAGACAGGGCAATGTGGTTATCTATTTTAACAATAATTATAATGATGATGATAACGAAAACTAACATTTGCTGAGTGCTAACAATGTGCCAGGATCCTCCTAACGGCCCAGTGAGGTAGATACTACCACTATGTCCATTTTACAGATGGGAAAATGGAGGATTGGGGTGTTAACCAACTTGCCCACTTGCCCAAGAACAGACAAGTCTTCAAGCGGAAGACTGTTATATATAATATATGCAGAGTTCACATCTAAGGGGTAGTTTAGATGGAAACAAACAACTAAAACTTTAATGCCAACCTCTCTCTCCTCTGTTTCGATAATATTGTTACTAAAAGCAGGCAGGGAAATCCTTTTGCTAGAGAGAACGAAACCCTCAAAATGGTCTTGGTGAGTCACCCTAGACTACTGGTCCAGTGGAGGGTTGACTCTAGCAATATTTGAGGATAGGCAGTAAACAGTGTTCCTCTAAAGAAATCAGTAATTTTCCTCCTGACGAGGCCATTCCAGACACAGATTAGTGACAGCAGAGTGACAGACAACAATAAGCATGTCTCCTGATTCACACCTAATGCTTCCCACAGGCCTTCGTCTTTCCCACCATCCTGAGGTGCACTGTGAGGAGGAGAGCTTACCATTAGGACTCCCCCTCAAAGCCTGGGCGCCAAGGCTCCGGGGCTCCTCTTCCACTTCATTACCATCCCCTGTCACACCTTCCAGCATTGCCTTCTGGTTCTCCTTGGAGTCCCCTCTATTCTGCAGAAGGCCTCCTGACACCTCTAAGGCATCAAAGGTGTTGGCAAGGGCCCAGGGACTCATCAGGGCATCCATCTTGTCGTAGAAGGAGCAGGTGACCGGAGTGTGGCTGCTTCTGGCTTTGTGGTAGTTGGTCTGGAGGTTTTTGAACCGGTAGCGACACTGCTCCAGGGTCCGTAAGAAACCACATTCCCGCAGCCACTCAGCCACAATCCGGTACACCTGGCGGTTCCGATGGCAGGTACGGAGTTTCTCGTGAATGTAGGGCTCACCAAGAATTCCCAGGAAAATTTTAGTTTCTTCATACCCCCAGTGCACACCTGGGAGAAAGGTATAGAGGTAAGCTAAGACAAGGCTGCTGGTTTGAAATGAAGATAGCAAAAGACTCCCCACTCCTTACCACAGCATTTTAGTGATTTCCTGAGAAATAATCAAAGGGGTTTTTCCCTCTGTGACACAACTTGATCCAACATTAAGCACATATTTATTTTTATACTTATAAACATTATTCTTATATAATAGTTCTTCCTTTTTCTCAATTACATACGTGAATAAAGGCTCTCTCATTTGTATATAAAAAGTCTTTCCTTGCCCTTTTCGAGCTATTATAATATGCCCTCACTCCACACGGCACCTCTGAAATAACTGGTTGCGATGAGGTTCTTTCCAAACCCTGCTAACAACCACGGCTCTCCCATCTTGCTCATAACAAGGGCTTTACCAGTAGGACTCCGAAACAGGGCTGGGATACCAAGGCTTTCAGACACTTCCTCAAGGCCCAGTTCTTCCTCCTCAGAATCCTCTGTCACGGCTCCTGAATGCCCTTCTAAAGATGCTGCCCTACGGCCCAGGTTCCGCCCCCACCTCTCTGCCCCGCCTTCTAGCACAGCCTCAGCCGGCATTGCCTCCTCCTGTTCCCAGCAACCACTCTGCGATTCTTCGAGCTCCACGTCATGGTCCCTCTGCCCAAGCAGACTCCCTGCCACCTCTGGAACGGGGGTGGTAGCCTGTGGGCACATCAGGGCATCCATCTTGTCATAGAAGGGGCAGGTGCCTGGAGTGTGGCTGCTCCTGGCTTTGTGGTAGTTGGTCTGGAGGTTTTTGAACCGGTAGTGACACTGCTCCAGGGTCCGTAGGAAGCCACACTCTCACAGCCGCTCAGCCACAATCCGGTAAACTTGGCGGTTCTGATGGCACGTACAGAGTTTTTCATGGATCCAGGACTCACTGAGAATGTCCAGAAAAATCTTCATTTCCTCATGGCCCCAGTGCACCTCTGCCACCTTCTCATCCTCCAGGCCCTGCCACTCCAGCTCTTGGCTTTTCTCAAGACGGGCAACTGGCCAGGCTTGACTCTCCCCCGCCCCCTGGGGAGTCTCCCACGCTCTGCCCTCTGGAGCACTGAAGACCTGGGCTCTGCGGTTCTCTCTGCTGCTCCACGTGGGAGCTCACACTGGGTCTGGGGGTAGGAAAATCTGTTTGCAGGGAGATAAATAGAAGACATAATGGTTTGGTGAGACTAATCTCAACTACTTTATATGCCAGAGTGGAGAGATATTATTATTTTTTTGTGTGTGTGAGGAAGATCAGCCCTGAGCTAACATCCATGCTAATCGTCCTCTTTTTGCTGAGGAAGACCGGCCCTGAGCTAACATCTATTTCCAATCCTTCCCCTTTTTCTCCCCAAAGCCCCAGTAGATAGTTGTATGTCATTGTTGCACATCCTTCTAGCTGCTGTATGTGGGACGTCGCCTCAGCACGGCCGGACAAGCGCTGGGTCGGTGCGCGCCCGGGATCCAAACGCGGGCTGCCAGTAGCAGAGCGCGCGCACTTAACCGCTAAGCCACGGGGCCGGCCCCGGGAGGTATTAATTTAAAAAAAAACATCTAAGGGGATTCTTGGGAAGCCTCAGTGAAAGTAATATTAAGGACTGTGAGTGAACAATAAGAAAAAATTCAGGTCCAAATCTATAACTGTATATCCATATTCATCCATCCTGTAACAAATAAAGTTCAGGCACCTGCCAAAGGCTTTCCTGACCTTCTCCCTAAGAAGAACTTCAATCCCGTATCCTGTCTAGACTCAAGAAAGTCATCCTAGACGGCACTGACTATGATAACAGATATATATGTCTCTTTCGAAGCAGGATTGAAGGAAGGAATGGATTTGAAAAATTCAACCCAAAAATGTCTGGAGTAGTGAATACTATAGAAACCCCACAGCTAACTTTGACTCTGCAGGAGAAACATGGTCTTACCTAGCAGGGCTCCATTTGTGGAATTCTCCCAAGTTACTTCCAGGGGGCTCCTCTGTCCAGGTTCTGGCTGCCTCTGTGCCTCCTGGGAGACATGCACAGCCATATCACCAAATGTCACCAACTCCTGAGAAAACATGACACCCCCACTCAAAACACACCGCCTTAGGACAGCCCGGTGCGGGTTGGAGGGCAGGCGACAAAACAGACTCAGAAGAAACTAAAAAGTGAGTTCCTGTGGCTTTTAAATGCAATGAGAGAAGCCAAGGGAGGGAGCAGGCCGAGAGAAAGAAAAGGAAGAAATAAGCTAACATTCACTGAACACCTGTGCCATGTGCCAGAAACTCTTCATACTCGTTCCAAGTTATACAGTGAGCATGTGCCAGAGCTGCAATTTGAACTCAGGGCTGTCTGCCTCTCAAGCTTTTGTTTCTTCTCCCACTACACAATCTCGCAGGCCATATGCCATATGGGCAAGATCCAGATACGGAAAGACGGAAGTAACCATTACCTTTAAGGCAAATAAGCAAATCAGTATAATCTGACAATCTCAGGGTCAAAGAAAAGAATGACTTTATTTATTTATTTTGTGAGGAGATCAGCCCTGAGCTAACATCTGCCAATCCTCCTCTTTTTTTTTTTGCTGAGGAAGACTGGCCGTGGGCTAACATCCGTGCCCATCTTCCTCCACTTTATAGGGGATGCCGCCACAGCATGGCTTGACAAGTGGTGCGTCGGTGCGCGCCCAGGATCCGAACTGGCGAACCCTGGACCGCCTCAGCAGGGCACGCGCACTCAACCGCTTGCGCCACCGGGCCGGCCCCAAGAATGACTTTAATATGATCCCTCACTACCTCGGCTGTGGTGCTGTCTTATATAAGGAATGAGATCTAGGCAATATTTTGCAGGCTGATGAAATTTTAGAGCCTTATCTCTAAAGTTACTGGGCCTCCCTCCTGGGTCAAATTCCTTTGAAATTGCTGATAGGTGAGAGAGTTGGGTGCAGAGGGTCCCACTCAAGTAGTACAAGGGAACTTGAGCTAGACAAAAGTCTGGCTCACCTGGGAGCTGTGCATCGTCCTCTGGTCACCACTGCTCTCTTCCACAGAAAGACCCAGAGCCCGAGGATCAGGCAGGGCTAGGGGAAGAAAAAGGGGCTGTTAGAGGAGAATGGTTCTCAACTCCTCCTGGTCCAAATGAGTTCAGAAACAGAAGAGTCTTCCTCCTTCTCTTAGTGTCTACTTTGTCCCATCAAAGGAGGGTTGGCAAAAAACCAAAATGACACATTTCTAAGAGGAGAGTTCCAGATTTTTCCCTTCCATATCCACCCATGTTACTGACTATCAGAGTTTTATGATTTTGTTCTTCAGTTCTGGTAACACACTTGAATCATGTGGATTGGTTTGGGGACACACATACCTGTTGTGAGAATTACTGCACTTGAGTTTAACCCTACTGTGTGCCTTTCCCACTAATCAGACCTAAAATCTGTACCCAAACCTAACCTACTGGTACCAGCAATCTCTCAGTCACATAAGGAGAGGTGCAACAGGCCCCACTATGTAGTTTTACATAACACGCCAACCAAGGTCTTTCTTCCCGGTGGAGGTGCCTACTGAGGATCCCACATATTCATGTGGTCAGCCTCAGTTCACATGCCACATCCTCTAAGTGGAAAGGAGCTGTACCCTTTACCCCACTTGCTGCATTCAGAGGGGGGCCTTCACACCTTCCCCACAGAAGGGCTACCCCCTCCTCCCCACACTGCTGCTGCTTACCACTCTTGTGGAAAGATCAGAGTTCTACTCTGGGGTTGTGGCTCAATTGTTCTTCTGGTTCTGGCTGTGAGTTCTTCACCATTGCCTGGAACAGACACATGGATTCTGTCTGTGCTTGCTTCAGATGGATATTTAGGGAACTAGTACTGATCCTGAGGGTCCCTTCTTCTCTGAGAGCACCTCCTGTCCCTGTTCAAGGACTAGAAGTGGTCAAAATTCTGTAGGCACTAAAACTTAATTATCCCAAGACACAAGGAAGCAAAGGGGGAAATCAGTCTTACACCAATCACTGCAGGGGCAGTAAGGAGTGTGGATGTGTGGAAGGCTTCACAGAGATAAGGTCTGGAACTCAAGCCCACTGCAACCTGCCCACCCAGCTCTCCTATGGCTGCTCCTGTCAACCTCTAGGCAAAACACAGAGAGCCAACCAACAATATAGCTATTTTGAAACAGGACCCAAAGGTTCAATAAGGTCAATAAAGACCAGTGAAGCCCCTTGCTTCAGGCTAGCTGCTGCTGAATGACAGCTGTTCTCCAAAAAGAAAACAGCTCTTATGTGCTCCTCCTTGATCAGAGTGGTGGTCAAGCTATTTAAAGCAATTCTCTTACTTAATGGCAGGGACCAACCCTCATGGCAACCACATTGTGCATTCTCTAAAGAGTCGGTCTGAACTTGGAAGGAAAGTTGCAGCTACCAGGCCCAGGGAATAAGGAAATTTGACTTTGACACAAATAGCAAAGTACTACATACTACCCACACTGCCGGCAACCCAAGGTGGCTCTGTCTCTCACATTCCTCTATTTTACCCACTCAGAAGTAGGTTCCCGTATCTCATCTGTAGCTCCCGTCTTCCAGGTTCTTTCTGCAAGTCTTCCACCAGGGCCACTGCCTCCTCTCCACTTTCCGGATGCTTTTGTCTAACCCAGACCTGGACCTCCTGGGGAAGGATAGTCAGGAACTGTTCCAGAACTAGCAACTCCAAGATCTGCTCTTTCGTACACTTCTCTGGTCTCAGCCACTGACGGCAGAGCGTCTGGAGTTGGATAAGGGCCTCCCGGGGTCCAGATGCCTCTTGATAGCGGAAATGCCAAAAGCGATGGCAGGAGGTCTCTGGTCCAAGGTTACTCCCTTGAAGGGAAATTTCCTGCTCCCAGTGGGAATCTTCTTCCAGCTTCACTATTCGAAGCTCTTCTTGTACTCGAGGAGCCTGGATTTGTTGGTCCACAGATACAGCCATTGTTCAGCTCAGAGAAGAACCTTGCAACTGTGCTTTGAAGCTCAAACCTCTTCCTTTGCTTCACTGGGAAGCCACGTTCAGATAGGAGTCACTAAGTAGAACTTGAAATTCTAGAGCCAGAGACACACATTACAGAGTGAACTGTAGTGAAAGTCACAAGTGTTAGCCCAGTAAGATTGAGATGAAGAAAAGAGCCTTCCTGTTCTCCTCTCCTCATGTCCTGGTGCCCATGGAGTCTAGCCCTTTGTCACTGGGGAGGCAGCTCCAAAAGTTTGATAGGAGGGGTCAAGGGCTGGTGATCTGCTTGGAAAGTAGAGGAGCTTGAAGCTGTGTTTGCATAGCAATTTACTGAAGGCTGAGAAAATGTCAATTATCCATACTGAAGAATGAGGATGGGCTGCTGGAGAGAACAGGGACAATAAACTGCCCACTTGATAGGTTCCTTCCTCTGGGAATCCCGGGCGACCTCAGGAACCAGGGGCAGAGGCAGGGACTCAATAAGCGCCTCGTGGGCCACGAGGGGATCTACCTACCAAGCTAGGAGGAGCTTACCGGTGGAGACTCAAAAAGAGTTTGAAATTAGAGTCCGGACTCAGGTAGTATGGTGCAACCCAGTCAGCAGCCCCGGCAGGGGGAGGGAGAGCTGGAGGACCGAGGAGCAGTTGACGTCACTCAAGGTCAACTCCAGGAGTCTGCCTCCTCAAGCCTAGAGCCTGAGCCTCGGTGTGCTCGGATGGATATTTATTGAGTACAGAAGCTTTCCGGGAGGGAGGGGGAGGAAGGAGTAGGGGAGGGGTCCAAGCAGCAGTGTGAAGTTTTTTCTTCTGCGGTCAGCTAGGTGTTAAGTCTTCTTTGCTCTAATATGTGCTCTAGCAAAGCAAGCAATATAATGTCCACAAAGTCAGGTTTCTCTGGGTCAAAAAGGGCAAGGAGAATGTCCAAGACCCCTCTCACTCGATCCCGGAGCTCCAGTTCCACATCCGGTGGTCCTTGATTCTCGGGCCGTCCACTCATGATGCCTTTACACCCACTCTCCCAAGCCACTGGTTTTCCAAGTGTTGCAAAGTGTCTGTGCAGGACCAGTACGAGACTGCGCACAAGGGAGCAGCACCTTGGAGAGCAGCACCTGGGAGGAGCTGGCTCAAAGCTTCAGCGATTCCAACTCTTCAAATGCTCCAACCGCTAAACTGCTCTCGCCCCTGGCTGGGTTCTCAGCTTTGGGCGCCCTGTGCAGGATTCCTCAGTCCTGGCATCATAACTCTCTCCGCAACAGGGATATTTACCCTGGGTAAGGCTACAAGCTCTAAGAGCAAGGATAATAAAAATACAGACTCACAGGATGTTAGAGTTGGAAGGAAAGTTAAGAGACACTCAGGCTTCAACTTCCTCAAAGCGGAGACAATCACGGCTCAGAGGCCCCAAGGGACTTGCCCAAGGTCACATAGCTGGTTTATGGCAGGAAATGGACAGTGGCTCAGCCTCTTGACCGTGGACTGGGTGACTAGCCCGGAGAGCGTGACTTACACTGGAAGGCTACTCTGCTCCACGAGCGACCTTCTCTGGAAGCTTTATGGGGTAAACGGGGGCCCGAGGGACGGGGTCGCCTCGGCGGCTACAGGGCGAGAGTCGTCCCCGCTGGGCCCGGTGGGCGGCGAGAAGGCGGGCACCGCCAGCACGAGGGGCGCATCCTGCCCCGGGGTCCACTCGCGGGGACGCGCGGCCTGGGCCGGAGGTGGCCGGATCCCGGGACTCGGCCCGGCCACGCCCACCGGCGAAGGCGGCCCAGGCCCGAGGTGAGAGCCGCTCCCGCGCGCCGAGACCCTGCGACTACGGGCGGCCTGACCCCGCAGCACCTTCTCCGTGGCCAGGCAACGTCCCCACAGGCCGCTCGAACCCCGAGTCCAGGCCCCTGCATTCGGCAGTCCCGGCATTCGGACGTCCACCAAACACCGGAAGCGGAAACGCGAGCCCCAGACGGAGTCGGTCCTGTGCCCGCAGACTGACAGCAGCATTAACCAATAAAATATGGCGATGGTTTAGGAGCCTATTTGTTTCAAAGGAACCATTGATGATGGGTAGGACTTGACTACACGCTGGGTTTGGGGGTCCCAAGCCACGACTAGAACTGACCCAGCTGAAGAGGGTGGAGTCCTACCTCGTTTTCCCCACGCCCGCGGGAATTAGGGGAGGTGGCGGCCTCTCGCGCTCCGCCACCCGGGGGGGGGGGGGCACTGAGAGAGAGGGCCCTCTCCAAAGCCTTGTCCCTTACAGCTGAAACGGGCGTTTATCCCTGTTAATCCCTATTTATCCCTATGATACAGGTGTATAAACCGAGGCGGCTTGGGCCTGAGGTCTCTCAGTGTGGAGATGAGACTCCAATTCAGATTTTTTGCCAGTTAAGAAAGTACCTTTGGGCCAGCCCCGTGGTATAGCGGTTAAGTGCGCTCGCTCTGCTGCGGCGGCCCAGGGTTCGCCGGTTCGGATCCCGGGCGCACACAGAAGCATGGCTGGTCAAGCCATGCTGTGGCGGCCTCCCATATAAAGTGGAGGAAGATGGGCACGGATGTTAGCCCAGGGCAAGTCTTCCTCAGCAAAAAAAGAGGAAGATTGACAGATGTTAGCTCAGGGCTGATCTTCCTCACAAAAAGAAAGAAAGTACTTTTCTGGCATGGGTGTCCACTGTAGTAATGCTTCACCACCACCATCCTCCCCCTCGCCCAACACACACACACACACACACACTTCCTCATTTCCTGCGTGCACAGTCCTGGGAGATTCAAGATGAATACCACTGATGAGTATTCATTCATCAATTGTGGAGCATCTACTCTGGGCCAAGCAAAACACTCCCCCCTCTTAAGGAGAGCAGTCCAGCAGAGGATGCATTTTCTAAAAAGTTGCCGTAAACAACCCAAGTAACTCCAGTACAGTGTGATAAGTGCTAAATGGAGGTGCGTTCAAAGTAAATGGCTGGAAAGAAATACTGGAGAGCAGCCGAGAAAGCCCAGGAGAGCAGAAGGTGCAGCCTCAGGGAAAAGGGGCAGGAAAATATATTTTATTGAGCACCTACGTTGCATATTTTATCTGGTTTGAATGAATCCTCCAAAGTAGGTCTCACTCTCTAATTAAAAGATGAAAGGTCGAAAATTCAGCCGAAGGTGGGTGAAGCTGTGATTCCCCTCACAGGAGCAGCAGCCTGTGGTGGGGCGAGGGAAGGACAGGATGACAAGAGGGGCTCTCTAGAGAGTCCTAGATCCAGTTGCGAGTGGGCCATGGAGATTTCTTCTATCCTCTGATCTTAGGAACAGGTGTTCGGAGAGGGCTGGTGTGGAAACTCAGGCCAGCACTTGCATGCACACACATCTACCTTTCAAAACATTCCCTGGGCCAGCCCGGAAGTTCCACAGGGCTGCCTCAGGGACCCGCTAGGTGGGGCAAAAGCCCAGCCCAAAAGAGGGCTTTGGGTTCCCACCATGAAATCATCAGAGCAGCTCTGCTTTTACAAGTGTTGTATTACTGGAGGATTTCACTTGAAAAGAGGTTCCGCTGTTAAAAAAAAAAATTGAAAATTACTAATCCAAGTCCATGCCCCATTCCCTTAACTCAGGGATCTCCTGAGCAAATGGAACTTTCACTGAGGCAAAATCAAGCATGGAAAGGGTAGCCCCAAACACAACTCATATCACCTACACCACCAACACCACAGCCAGTACTTCAAGGGAGAAGACATGCATACGTGTCCTCGAGCTGTGAGCCACACTCCCCAAAGAATGGGACTAAAGGACCCCCCATAGTCTACGTAGATGAGATGCTTTCCCACTTGCAGCTTCCTGCTCCCTCAGAGGACACTTGGTCTCAGAAACCTAGACAGGTCCATTCTTTGGTGAAAGCAGGCCCCATCTAGGTCAGAGCTGTCAATATTACCACAGAGAATAGGACTTCAATGGTCACTGCTATACAGAGTGACTTACCTCTTCCCAGCAGCCTTCTGGAATGGGAAGAGAAATTTTGTCATGAATTTTGCAGATGAGGAAAAGGAGGCCTCCAGAAGTGATTTGCTCTGGTCACACTGCTAGCTAGTGGCACAAGTGAGTCTAGAACCAGGTCTGTCAGGTCTTTGGCTTCCAATACTCCATTCGCTACACCACAAATTTCACGACAGGAGCAGGCGGAAGACAAATAGGAACTAATAACTCTGAAAGGCAGCACCACATGGCATGATTGAGAGAGGCAAATGTCAATAGATCAGTTTCAGCAAGAGTTCGGTTTCTAGATCATTGATACGTTTAGAAAAACATTGCACAGAGGTGTTGCTAAGCAGTGCATAAGGAGACAAGGATTTTGAGATGAAGCAAATAAGCTTATCCTCTAAGAATTCAACTAATTATAGCCACACATAATGAGTGGAGACTAACGTCTCCTAGGCCCATGGATCATCCACTTAACTCCGACTTAACAAGTGATACTAACCTATCTGCAGAGGGGGGACGGCCTGTTCAGCAGGGACACCTGGAGGGAAGCGTTAACAAGGCAGTCTTGAGCACTGAGCAGACAGCACTGTGGGGCAGGGGAGAGAAGTGGGACTTTGAAGCGTAGCATTCATCACCTGAGGGGGTTCATGGCTGGGTCTGCTGTCCCTCACATGACTACTTTCTTTCACTCTATGTTGATCAACCACTGTCTGATCACAAAGCCACCATTTCAGTCACTTGAGACTGGGAACAAGGGGTGCTCTGAAGGAGGCTTGGGATAGGAAAGCTCCCATTGTAAATTAATAATAATTGGGTTTCTGGATTCTATTGGTCTCTTGGAAATTTGGTTCACAAGAGCCTACCACCCAGGGTCTGGTCACCTCTGAGTGTACTGAGGAAATCCAGTCTCTGCTCCAGAAAGGCTGGGGACCAGAACCCGGCTGTGGTAAATGTGCCAAGATGTGCCACTCCCTGAGGCCTCCTGGCAGGCACCTCTGCCCTCAGACACCAACAGCGTAACAAACAGCAGAGATGCTGTGCCTGACAGGGCCTGTGAGCAATGAGGGGCCCAGGCAAAGTGTTTCCTTGGAGCCAGACCCTCCTCCTCCCAGGAGCAGCTCTACAGCTCTGT